AACGACTTCATGGCACGCACAATTTGAGCAGCTCCAGGAGCAGGAGTGCCGCTGCACCCAGAGGGGCGACCACTTGAATATGCAGATATGTACACACATCTAAGCACATATCGAATGTGCATATGTATATGTATATATATTTATCTAGGTTAGGCCACACAGCTGTGTACTGTGCGGTGCGGTGCTCCTCTGCCTGTGGCATACTGTGTGGCATGTAAAAATAAACACATAAAACTGCACTTTTCCTAATTGCTCGGGGGAGAGACACCAAAAGAAAATACGGCTTCCAAATGCAATGCGCAACAAATCGCCGATAAAGCTTCATGCATATAGTTGAAGTCACAAATATTTGGAACATATTCACATGCTTGTCCGAATACGAGTGTATGAGTATGAGAATGATTGCGAGCACCCATTCGAGTCAAGGGAGCACGAACAATGCACACGTGCGCCACTGCTGTCGAACCAGAGTTGCCAGGTTTCATAATGAGTTGCGTCAGTGACATTGAATCATTATTTATATGTAAATGAAAGTGTTCTTAAGTAGGTAAGCAGGGCAGGAGAGGACAGTAACGGGAGTAAGCTAAAGTCAGATGGATTTCTCTACAGTTGAGCTTATTTTTTATTTATAGAGATGGTCTAGAAAATTACTATTGCGATATAATAGGCGCCTTGAATCTAATAACTAAGTAATAACTCTTTGATTGTTATATCTAATTCAAAAATAAATCTGACACGAAACGTTTTTGAAAACCTGACAACTCTGCAGCGTATCTGGAAAGGAAATGATAAGTACACTTACACTTACCTACGCGAAGGGTGCATCCTTTTACGCATCAACAGTTTTAATAGTTGTTTGGCCTATCACTTGGTTTATACGCTCGAAATTCTTTAGGGAACTGGCGGGGTCTAAGGGGGCTTACTTACAAATACCACGTAGTGAATCACTTTTAGGGCGTGTAACCAAAGTCTGTGTGTGCATGTGTGTGTGTGTGTGTGTGTCTGTGTCTGTGTATGTAATTTATGCACTTCTTGTAGAGGTAATGAACTTGAAATTTATAAGCAAATACCATGTAATTTGCTCATTAACAAATTGTTATAGGTTAGGCTTAGGAAAAGAGCATCGAAAATGCGTTGGAGTCATTGTCATGGGTAAAATGACTTTCAGCTGGGTCTTATCTTGTAGTTTAAGGCACTTTAAGAGTTCCTGATTGCCAGAACACTCTGTGTGTTTTCATATCCTGAACCACTTGAGTTTCCCACCCTGTGACGACTTTATTAAGGGGCGGTCCCATGTCGCCCATTATAACTCAATTTTAAATTGTGTATAATTTTATTTTTGACATATTAAATTAATATTGACACATTGACAGCTGCCCGCCGTACGCTGACGGCCTGCCAAAACAACAAAACATCCCATTACACAACTATCAACGTCTATGTCCAAGTTCCAGTCTCAGTCTCAGTCTCTGTCTGAGTCTCAGTCTAGGCCTGCGTTTGAGTCTGAGTCTCTGGACGAGCCGCTGTCGTTGCCGACCACCCGCTGACAGTGTTCTGTGCTGATCTGATCGATCAATGCGGGCGCTGATCAAAACTCAAAGCAAAACAACATAAGTAAGAGTGCCCGACTAAGAGATGGCCTGTATTACATACTTAACTGATTCTGATTCAGTTCTGTGTGAAATATTTGTGATTTCAGCACACATATCAATTTTGATACATCTACGGGGTTTGAATAACATTGATATCTTTTTAAATTTGCAGACAAATGACTGTGCGCATAACTTAATGATATCCCCCTTACTAATTTTCCATAGGTACAGGGTATATAAAAAATATATATATATATATTTGCTTCAATTTCTCGAATTCGTGCGCTAATCATGCGCAACGTTTACTTTTGGTGAAATTTTTAATTGCCGCTCGAAACCCTGGAGAACAAATGGGAAGTATGCGCTTTGGTTCCGTGGAAAACGGCAGTGTCATCATTTGGGCTTGGGTGCCCTATTGGGGTGTGTGTGTGCCGTTTTTGTGTGGTGGTGTGAGTAGTGCGTGGTTTTCTTTATCTAAAACGCGCCTGGGAAAACGCGAGCTGTGCTTAATTGATGGCCAGATATATTGATGTTCGGGCACACGTAGCACAAATAGTAGATACATTTGGCATTGGTGGCAGCAGCATACAAAAAGGTCTTTATATTTTTAACAGCCCAATGCGTATCTGTTTGATTTGCCCAAATTGGTCAAATGGGCTGGAAGTGCAAAGTAAACATTAAATTGGCGCAAACTAACAAATTGCTATATTTGTTGGGTGGGCTTCAGTGGATTTGGGTTGGGCTCAATCCAGATACATATATGCACATATGGAGCCAAGTGCGTGGGCTTCAAAACTGTACATCAATTGATATCATCTGTTTCGGTAGCTGGTAGTTTACACCTCGTTAAAGATTGAACACATCGAATATCCAATACAAATTTGAATGTGCAATATTTTTATGGAGATTTTGAGCAATAGAATGAAACAATTATTAAAAATTTAATAAAAAAAAAACATAAAACATTTCATAAACTCAACGATTATGAAAAACAAAATCTAAATTATTTTTATTCACAAGTTTGTAAAATATAAAGAATCTTTTTCGCTTGGTAAATGTATTAATTTTCATATGGTTTGAACTTTAAAGAGTATTTACTAATGATTGAGGGACTTATAGGATATTTAACGTTTTTGAAATACATCTCATAAAATTTAAGCAATTTCTCTCTCATAATTATCGTTGTAGTTTTGACAAAGCTATTGTTTGGATGTTAAACTAAAATACAGTAATAAATGTCTTTAGATACAAATGAGTTGTAGGTTTGAAAAATTAATTTCTGAGATACTTAATGCTCGCTGTACACATCGCATATCTCTTGGTATGCACAGGCCAATTTATCTTAGCTACAAAGTATGTTTATGCCACTGTTTGACGCGACGAGGTCTGCTTGCAACGTCTCTTTGGTTGGACGACACATTTCGTTGCACGCAATTCAATTTCATTGCACCGTGGCAACCATTTGTGTCTTGGGTGCTTATGAATGAACTTTCCGCTTGCATCAAAAGTGCCGTTTGCTCGCCACGCAAAGTCTTGCCGAGTCAACTTCAGAGGCAACTTCTGGGCAGGTCTGAACTGGGTTGGGCAGTCCATCATCGCCCACCTCTCGCCTCGCTTTGCCTCGACTCGACTCGACTCGAAGCTCGTTTCCCGCCTGAAGTTTCCTCCTGGTTCGCTTCACTGAAGCGTGCCAATTTTTATTGAAATATGTATTTCGGCATCTTATTTTGGGCTTCGTTTTACATGTGTGTTGAGTTTGTTGCGTGTTTTATATGACTTTTTATGGCCACAGTGCAATCGTCGCCAATGTTTCTACTATTTCTTATTGTTCACACTTAAGTGCATTAAATCTTAATTATTATTTAAGCTTTTACGGCTTTTGTTTGCTCGACGTTATCAGTCTTATCCGTCTTATCAGTCAGCAAATACTGCAAATGTGTTTCCAACTCAACAATGTCGCTTGCCGCTGGATTTTCCATTGAATTGAGCTTATGATTATACACTTTGCACGATCTTCTCGATTTGCGCTAAAAATATTCAATGGTTTTGGCCAAACTGTTTTTATTATCGATTTCCACTGAAAAGGAAATAATTGAGCTTTTTTATGAGAAAAACATGAAATCCGTTTAGTGTTTTTTTTTTTTTTTAATGACGGAAGGTATTGAATTTGCGTCGTATTTCTTTAAATCAATGTGAATTCAAATTAACTTATTATTTAATTATTTAACAGGTTTGGAAATTTATTTAAAAAGTTGCGATTTATTTACATGATTTAAAAAATTAAGTGAGTGCGACGGAATATAATATATTATTTCCAGTTAAAAATATCAATTTCATCCAAAATTCAGTTCTGGTACTTTGAAATCTGAAACAAAATAATCAACGATTTGGGGGCTTGTTAACATTTTAAAATCAGTGTCACGAAAAGTTGATCTACAGATATGTACAGTAACAATTTAATTCATAAACGTGCTTAAGTAAAAAAGATGCAAAATATACGCTAAATAATAAATTGTGATGTCTACCCTATTTTAGTCTTCACCAATACACTATGGCAAAAAGTATAAGATATAATTAATTACAAATAAATGAGGCCAAAAAAAGTTCAAGCTCTACCGTCTGTAGAGTATATAAAAATCGCTTATCATCTGTCAAATGCAATCCTCAAGCGTTTGCCAACGATCAAATAAGCTGCAAACCGAACCAAGTCCATTCATCTTTGTCAAAAGTTCAATGGCCAAAAAAACAGGTTCCAATTGAAAAAAATGAATTTAATTTTTAGGTACATATATAGCAGGTGTGCATGTGCTGCAATACATGCACCAAATTAAATTTGTACATGGTTTAACTGATGAGTTAAAGAGAAATAGAAATGATTATATCCTATTATTGACACGTGACTCAGTCACATGGGGAGACGACTCGAATAGTGCACAATTGTTCAATTAAGATCCGTTTGACTGCAATTATTTGGCAGCGATCGCTGTGATTTGTATGTGAGTGTGTGCCTATCAATTGCAACAATAATACTGACACACATACAGACATCTGTACATATAATTAAAGAATGTCGAAAACGAAAAACAATAATAAAAATAACAATGAGCGAAATGTGCCTCACATTTATTAGGCTTTTGTTTGCACGTTCCAGTTTCCAGGGCTGCATCAGAATTCTTGATCGCAGCAGACACAAAAGCAGGAAAGCAAAAGCAAAAATGCATTGACAAACGTATACAGTTATTTATTGTCTTTGTTTTGACTTTGCTTACACTCTATGCGCCTCAAATTGTCTTTGTGCTGCTATCGCCGTTGCTGTTGCAGTCGCAGTCGCAGTCGCAGTAGCAGTCGCAATCGGCTGAGCTAATTAAGTAGAAAAAAGTTAAGGTGCTCGCGTTGGAGCTCGGCGCGGTCAGTGATAACTAAACCTTTGAGCACAGCAGACGCTACGTGCTGACTTTTGTCATTCAAATTATTTTGTATGCAACAAAAATTTTATAAAATTAACATTATCATTGTTTCTGTGGCCGTGATCAGTGAAATAAAGTGACCAACTGAAAAGTAAATAAATATTAATAAATATTCGTCAATGCATAAGCGACTCACAAACAAGAATTTGTAAAACTCAAGCTACATCCAACTGTTTATTAAAAGCCGGAAGAAAAAAATGTTTTACTAAACTTCATAGATAGAATTCAGCATTAATATAATAAAGAGTGCAGTTAAATATAATTTTAAGATAAATACAATATTTGGAAACATTTATCTGAGTTTAAATCTGTGTTTAACCAGCTTACAATATCTTTTTTTTATATTCTTCTATATTCAGGAAATTTTCAATTCGGAAATTTTCGATTTTCAAATGAGTAATTGTTCCTTTGAGATAAAATTCGATATTAAATCGAAAAACAGAAAGAAATACGTTAAAAACTCTAGAAATATAATTAAAGCAGAATACTATATAAAGATAACATAATATTAATATTACAGCAATGCACAAAATAACAATAATAGATATCTATCTAAAACTCAAATTGTTAATATTTTTATGTATATTTTTTAATGAACATTTTAAAGCCGCAACAGATGGTTCTTTAATTACACAATTAGCTGGTTAGCCATTAAGATCACAGGCAATTATGAGTGAAGTTTTCATCGGAATTGATCAAAAAACCTTGGTCCGTAACGTAATCATAGATCATAGCAACAAAATAAAATAAATAACTAACTGCTATTAAATATAACAGTAAAGCAAATGTGAGTTAAATCAGAAACAAAAAACAAGTCATCCCAATCGCAACTTTCAAAATTTACTCAAGTGAATTGTAGACATATGTTTATAATACATGCATACACAAATATATATTTATATATATACATATATATATATATTATATTGTTTACATTTTGTGCGACACTCAATGTCGAATTGCGTTTCATTTGCTTTATGTTTCTTTGTAGAGCGACAGCTAAGCAAACAGCGAAATGTTGAATATTTAAATACTTTGCGAGTATGAATATTTCACGAGTATTGAGAGTTATTAGCAGCTTTCATTGCATTGCCGCACTTTCTCAAATTAGCGCAATTTTGTACGTTATTTTTTTTTCTTTTCAATTATAAATCTCGTCAAACAATTACAGATATTACAGATATTATAAATCAGATCGTAGTCCGCCCCAACATCAAGAACACTCCCAATTCGAGTCAAGAATGCTGTCTCGCCTATTCAGCTTTTAATTCGCAATTCATAAATTAGTTGAGTAAATTTATAATGATGAAATTCACTGGTTGCATTTCAATCAAAGCAGTTAAAATTATAATCTTTAATAGAAACAAGAAGAAAAATGTGTCTTTGAGCTACCGAAGTATGAATGCCCTTGCAGATAAACGGCAAATGAATATGGTAAACATAATCTAAATATATCTTTTGATGAATTGTTTATGCTACCTAATATTTTGATCGTATCGATCTTATGCCAGCTCGATTATATAGCTATCAAACTAATTAAAAATTTATACACTCAATACAAAGTTATTATACCACTTTCAAGGGTATATGCAGCAATCAATTTTTCATGGATATTAATGATCTAATGACATCGTTTACGAGTTATATACTGGCTACAATGTTTTAACTGTCATATACTATAATTGGCGTAATTAAAACTGGAATACTTGCTTAGACAAAATGGCAGATGTGTCTAAATCGAAATTATTCTTTGTCGTACAGGTTAATCCCTTAATGTGTTACACATTTCCTGACTAAATCAAATACCCGATGAAAAACGTAATAAGGAAACACACAAGCTTATAAGCTTATATGTCTGCTTATTATTTAACAGCAAACAACATTAATTAGCACTGCATGTTAGAGCCATACAGCGTATGCAAATAATGACATAAACCACTGAAAATAAAGCGGATTATTTATGTTAATCTGTTATTAATAATCGACAATTATATTTCCAATGCAGATGCAGATGCAGCTGCAATCGAGATCTTTACTCTGGCTTTTTCTGCTGGTTATAAATGGGTTAGGTGGCAATGCTTATCGCATACTCTTTATGGGCCCCTTTCCCGCACCCAGTCACTGGATGTGGCTGGAGCACTTTCAGCGGGATCTACTGAAGCGTGGACACGAGGTGACCAGCATTAACAATCATCCAACGAAGACGCCACACGAAAATCTAACTGAGATTATTCTCAATCCGACTTTTGATATACCCAAGCATTGTGAGTATGAAAAAAATAAATATATCTATATATTAAGCTTGCATAAGTAAGGAATAAAATAACGATTGTATTCCCTTACAGTTCCCAAGAAGAACATATTCAGCATGCGTTTTGCCAGTGATTTTCAAAATCTGCAAATGTGGTGGCTAATTGGTCAAATGACTACGGAGCATGCGTTGCAGGATGTGCAAGTTCAAAGACTCATCGCTAGTCAGGATGAGCACTATGATCTCGTTATTTTAGAGCAGTTCTTTCACGAGGCATTCCTCATGTTTGGTCAGAAGTTCAAGTGTCCTGTGGTCACCATTGGCACCATGGGCTACGCTGATAATATGGATCATGCCATGGGCATCCTAACACCCTGGTCGGTCATACCTCATCTGCTACTGCCACACACCGATCAGATGACCTTTACTCAACGTGTCTACAACACATATCTCTCCGTTTATGATGCAGCTATGAGACGATGGTGGTATCTACCCAGAATGCAACAGATAGCGGAGAAGTACTTCGGAGCAGCTATTAAAGGTGAGTGCTCAAAGCATGTTATATTTTATAACTTGACTTAATTATTATAATTTTTTTTTTCCTTTGTTACTGACTTGTTTGTACCCTTACTTTTAGGTGCCCTACCCCATGTGCATGACCTGGAGCGGAATATATCGCTGATGCTGATCAATAGTCATCGCAGTGTGGATCTGCCACGCCCCAGTATGCCGGGCCTGATCAATGTGGGCGGAGCGCACATTCAGCCTGCCAAGGAATTGCCCCACGATATGCAAAACTTTCTGGACAATGCAACGCATGGCGTTGTCTACTTCAGTCTGGGCTCCTATATGAAGAGCACTGATATGCCGCCCGAGAAGACAGCTCAGATACTACAGGCTTTTGGCAAACTCAAACAGAAGGTTCTGTGGAAATATGAGAATGCATCCATAGGACAATTGCCTGCGAATGTTATGATAAGCAAGTGGATGCCACAGAATGACATTCTGGCACATGCGAATATGAAAGTTTTCATCACACACGGCGGCATCTTTGGCACCCAGGAAGGCATATATTGGGGCGTCCCAATGCTGTGCATTCCCTTATATGGAGATCAGCATAGAAATACCATTAAATCGGTGCGTGAAGGTTATGCCCGTTCTCTAGTCTTTTCTAAGCTGACTGTCGATGATCTGGTGCGCAATATTGAGGCTCTAATTTATGAACCACAATACAAACGTAGTGCTCTGGAGGTGTCTCAACGTTTCCGGGATAATCCCATGCATCCGCTGGATGAAGCCAGCTTCTGGATTGAGTACATCATTAGGCATAAGGGAGCGCGGCATCTGAAATCGCAAGGTGCCTTTCTGCCACTCTATCAGTATCTGCTGCTTGATATTTTGGGCTGTGTACTCCTGGCTCTCTTTCTGACCGTGTGGCTGCCTTGGCGCATGCTGAGAAGGGTCCACAGATGGTGGTCTATGGCGGCAGCAAAAGCTCAGGCTCAGGAGGTCAAGAAACAATTGTAAATGGTTTTCAATTTGCAATTTATTTACTAGTTTAGTTAGTGTAAGGCTACAACAAATAAAAGTGATATAACTATGAATAATTGTTTGAATTTCAACTTCCAAGTTGTTTCTCTTTAAGCGAAAATAAAAATATTCATTTTAAAGAAACTTTTTTAATTTTTTCGCTTACAAACTTTTTTTTTATAAAATTGTAATCTGTCCAGTATATGTCAATATCTTTGGCTTATCTAAATATGACTTATCTCATATATTTGAATTTCAAACGAAATGAAGAGCGTAAGTTTAGTATGTGTTGGGGAGCATCAGTCTCTTTGACCAGAAGTGTCTCTGCTCGCTCGCAGCTATGCTGAAAGTGAGCAGATTTTGCGTTTCAGTTGCCAATAAGCTTGCATACTTTTAGGCAGCAATGAAAACTGATCAAAAGCAAAAACATAAAAATGTTACGAAGCATTGCATACTCTTATGTACAACTTGTCAATACAAACTGTTTATTGCGAAAAATAGGTTGTTTATTAACAATCGTCTGTTTTAGTAATGTTCAAAATTGTGAGTCTACAAAAATAATGTATATATGTAACGGATTTTTCAATTCAGCAATTTAAATGATACTTGGCGAGCAATTGAATTAAAGTCTCGAATAAAGTAAATTCTCAACTTATGAAGTGGTTCTTATTGGCGATTGTCTACTGTGATTTGCCGTGTCTGAAAATTCTCATTGACTGCTGCGGTACTTCATCAGTTAAAGGTAAGCGGCATAGCAGTTGCCCAGCATTATCTATTTTTTCTATTTCTATGAATAATTTATGTTCCAATTAATTAAGTCGAAATAGGCAAATAGAAAAACTTTAAGGCAAAGTAAAAAATAAACAACAAATGGCATATTTTGTGCCGAGTGTTTTGACTTGATTTTTTTTTTATTATTGCTTGCAACAATCACGAACTGCCAGACAGATTCGAGACTCATAAAACGCCCCCGCATTGCACGTTCTTTTGTTAGCCAAGTTTTGTTGCGAATGCGAGCTGTCGCCAGCATATAGAAAATATTTAGCTAAGCTATGAAATCAATGTAACTGTAAACTGACTGAAGGATCAAAAGGTTGATCACAGTCTTTAATTTAATATGCTATCCGTAAGAATGATAAAATGCAAGAATTTTATCATAAATGTCGGGCAAAATTAGTGTGTCTTAATTTGAAAGTAGTATGATTCCATGACGAAAAATTTATTGTTTTCGAAAATCGACTCATATATGACACTTGATCCAATCAATCAATCCATTTAACCATTGGATATGGCTGATTCTACACGCTGGTGACTGCTACCGTTTTGAATTCGCTTTCGTCACAGGGTTTATGTCACAAGCATTTCATACTTTCACTGGCGGTCACCTTGTGAAGGTTCAAGTGCGACTCCACTGTTTTTATATTTACCGATTTTGTTGTTACGATCTGTCTGGTACCGGCCGTACCGGTTGAGCAGAGTGGCAAAAATATAATAATAAAATACAAAAAAAAGAGACTGTGCGCATATTTGGCGCATCTTTAACATTTTTTTCTTTTCGTGTGATTGCTTTTGTTTTGGATTATGTCTTTTATGGTGTCCGATCATAAATTAAAAATTTTAGCATTCGCATGCACTCCGCCAAAAAAATTATGAAAATTTTGCATTTAAATCGAGTTCAACTGCGGTTAAAATCTGACTAAGGTCGAAAATCATAGACCAATGAACGATATTATTAATTCAATATGACCCTTGTGATATCAATAGAATAATTTCCATATAGAATTAATTTTTGCGAATTTTAGATTTTTTGGTGTTTTTTTTATTAATTAGAAAGATGTACTGTTATTTTGTAGAATTATATTCGCTTGTACTTGAGCATAGGCTCAATGTGTTTCTCTGAGTGTACATATTATTAGTGAGCCTCTCCCACAAATGTGTTTGCCGCATTTCGGGCCGCCCCTTGTCAAAACTTTGACATAATAACTCAAAACATTACAAAATACGCAAAAAAAAGATTCAATACTCAATGTTTACCACTTGACTGACTTTACGGCGGCAAGTTTTTGTTATTTTGGAATTCATTTTGTTGGGCTAACGGTATTTAAGCAGCTTTGAGTGTGTGTGTGCATATTTTGCCTCAAAAATCATTTAAACAATATTTGGATGTGTTTACGTCATTAACAAAACCGGACCTTTGAGCACACAAGGTGGCAAGAGTATCAGTTCGCGATGTCGTAATTCTGAAAGCGATGAGTGCCAGGTACACTTCTACTTGAGACCTTCAAAATTGAATTTTTTATAGGCCACTTGGCAGTTACAAAGAGGTGGCAACGAAAGAAGAGGAGCCGCCATCAAGTTCAAATTATATCACACTTGGCGCCAGGCCTCCAAACCGGCTGAAATATTCTTGAAATTTACGTAAGGAACCAATGATGACGAGAAATAAAAAATATATTAAGCAAACACTTTAAACTCTGATCACAAACTAGTTTATTAATAAAATCGAATTAAGGCATTTGATGCATAGACTTGAGTTGAGCTTCTGACGATAGCTCTATTTCGAAATAGGCCTTTCAATATCCGCATTCGAAATTAGCAAATGTTCATATACGACAAATTTCTGATATTTCAGTGCATTTATTATATTCACATAGATGATTTTGGTGGCAAACAAAATTCGAAATAAAACAAGTTACTGTTGATCACATGAATTTAATAAAAGTCAAAAGCAATAACAAATAGTAAACAAACCGCTTTTGTTGCTGGCGCTATTCGTACCATTTTAATATGTTGGAGCCACAGCATACGTTGGGTTCCTGCTGTCAATGCCTCGCTGCTGTTGACCAAACAAAAATAAAGAGAAAAAACTAAAATAAAAAGTTCAACAACTAATAACAAACTGAAGACGCGCTCGTCGAGAGCACGTGACGCGCTGCAATAGCTAATGTTTGGCATTTATTATGATTATTATTATTGTCTTTTAATATTTGTATATGTGTCCATCAAATATTTTTTGTCAGGTGTGTTTTGGCTGTAACGTGTTTGTGCGCTTTTAATTACACAATTAAGCGAATTGCAGAAATGATCGTTTAAATGTAATTTACATTTTTTTTTTTCGTATCTTCACCTTTTTTCGTTTGTTTCTTTTTCTTTTTCGGTCAGCTGTGATGACAAATTAAGGCCCCAGCAAGGTCATGTGAGGGGCGGCCATTAGCCATGAAGTCAGGCCCCTCTTCACATTGCATATCTTGTCTCATTTTGCCCTATCTCTGTTTGTTTATTTGTTATTCGATTTGGAAAATGATGAGGCTGATTTTTAATTTTTTTTTTGTGGACTGTTGTGCATTTGAAAATTATGCAAAACATAATTTGAGCATAATGCGCCATGATGCAAATTAACATAAATACATTGACCTGCATCGTCGAGCCTATCGAAACTTTGATTAATATGCAATATATAAAAGTTACCTTTCTATTATCATTTTCAAATTGCCGAGGGATCATTTTCATAACCAAAAGTATATATTATTGTAAAAATCGAAATAAGGAAATGTTTTTCTCTGCTTTTTTTTATTCTACAACGCAAATTTCATAAATAGATTAGAATTTTATTAAATTTCCTGATTCGAATTTGAACTTAAACTATGCCAAGGCTTAACTAAAATTAATATGCAGTTTGTTTTTGACATGTTTATTAATCACTCTGTTTATGTGTGAACGCATTAAAATTTCAAATTAAAGCTCCGATCCTAAAGCCAGTTCTACGCAAAACAAATTATTATTTTCAACAGGTATAAAATATACGGTTAAAACTTCCAAAGAATATTTGGAAATTGAATAACAAAGGGTGATTTATTACTTTTGGAGATATGCTGTAATCGTCAGATGACGTTGTCTAGCGCATTTTTCACACATTCTAAGGTCTAGACGAGTTTGAATGATTTTAATTAGCCAAGTCTTAAGCTCGATGGTATCTCTTGGCAATAGCAGACAATCCCAAATTAATTTATTTCTTGTCACTAGCCGCCACTGTTTGAAAGATACATTAACATTCAAATGCTAAACAAAATATTTAAGCTTACTATTAGCATAGTATATGAGCACACTTTCAAACAGCTGTTCAGTTTATGGGGATGCCCATACAAAGATTATGTTTATAATTACATGTACTTCATTTAAAATGCAATGCTAATATGCATTGCCCAATTGGCCAGCGAGACCTTTGCCGAGCTTAGCCCTCTAGCTGCTTACATCACACAGCAGGAGTCGTTACCAGACAGAGAGGGATGGAGTGAGGGAGTGAAAAAAGAGAGAGAGCGAGAGACAGAGCGCGACTCAAGACCCATTCCCATAAACAGTCGAAACTTGTTTACTGCGATGCTTCGACAGTAATAAATATTTGCCGCTTCACTCAGGTTTCTTTGTGTTTGTTGTTTCTTGGTAAACCCTAGTCGAGTGTAATATAATTTTATCACGAAATGTGTTTTGCATTGAGGCAGACAACTCTAAGCTCATAGAGAATATATATATTCTTAATCAGTATCAATTACCGAGTCGAGACATTTTCATCTCTCTGCCGAAATATCGGTTTCTGCTTTTACAGTTTTAAAGCTTTCTAAGTCGAACCATCTTATTGCAAATTATCATAGCAAATTTATCATTATCGGATATATATCCACGTATTCCTATCACAAAAATAACGTCCAGAAGAAAACTTTTGTTTCTTGGCTCGAAGGGTATATAGTCTTTGGCAAGCTGACAACAGTTTTTTTTATATATTTTTTTGTTAATTTTTTTTTTGTGTGCAAATTACAAAAATAATAATAAGTGACACAAAGCGCGTGACTCCTTTCACATGACGCCAGACACCAAAAAAGTGCAAACAAAAGGTGTTAAGCTGTGTGTGTATTGAAATGAGATATACATATCTGAGTACACAGCAGCTTTTATTTGTGCCAACAATATGGCTAAAAATGAGCTAAGATTGTCCGAAATTATCTGACCGCAAAACAAAAGCGCTCTTGGCCCCATGTGATTTTAGTGAATTGGCCTGATTTTGCTTTCGTTTGGGGCCCGCATGCTGTGTAGTCGAGTGTTTTTTGGCGCATCATTTTTACTTTCTCCATAAACACACACAGACTCACACACACACACACATTAATTTGCTTTTGTGTGCGTGAGAGTTGCCGGCAGCAGAAAAGCTCGCTGCTCTGCTTGCATACCGGTTTGCGTTGAAGCTTAAAGCGGATCCGTTTTGGCTCGAAGTGCTTTGCCTTTTAAGCCCGACCACCAGTGATCGCAGCTTTCAGATACGTTTTTGCTGTGGCAGCGTGTGCAATTGTGCGGCTCCGTCTGGTCTTAGATACCACACACACACACACACAATTATAATAATAATAATAACAATCTTAAAATCCATTGAGATTCGGTTTCGGTTTAGCGCTGCGCCTCGCGTTCCGTTATTGCCTAACCCCGTTCTCGATATATTTGTGTATATATTTGTTGGTGCAAAATAGGCTCGTTATCGCTTTGGTTTTCGCTTCAATGTTGTGCTTTTCATCGCCTGCGTTATGCTAATTACCGAAAGGATTCAAATCGCTGCGTACATTATCGGTTACAATCTCTTTGGCAAAACGACATCTAACGTTTGTTGAAAACCACCAAACTTCCAAATTATACTCAAGTGTTAACAACAACAGCAACAACAAAAAAGAAAAAATAAATCAACAAAATCAAATTAAATAATTAATAAATCGCAACTCACACGCATACATACGAATATATTTATTGTTTATCAATTTGCAAATGTGCCAAATATAATTTAATAATCTTAATATATTTATTCTGCTTAACAAAGAGCTAATAAGTTTAACTATAAATCATTAAGTCGTAATTTTAAATACAAACAAAAGCCAACGCGTCGTGTACATCACACAACTAAAGACAGGGAGATATTGAAAGAAAGAGAGAGAGAGAGAGAAAAAAACGAGAAAGCAAGAAATTGCTTTAAAATGATTAAGCATCGACTGCTACTAAGTTTAATTTTATGGTGAGTTTGAAATATTGAATATACAAATTTATAAGACAAGTGTTTAAAGAAGACATATACAAAATGTTCATAAATTAACTGCAAATACAATTTAATATTTATAGTATAGTATGCAATGCAGTGATAAGAAAGAGAATATTTAAATATTTTTTATTCAAGCTCACGGCGTATAAATAACGAGTTATACTTGAATCGAAATATGAAGTTAGATGGGTGCGTCAAAGGTATATCTGAAGTTTGAGAAATAAATTAACAAAATTTTACTCAGGCCTATTAGAGCCAAGGACCCTAAAATTGAATTAAAAATATATTTTTATTTTACAAGATCATCGACTTAAGAGCAATCAGTGAAATAGTAATAAAAGTTAATCGAATTTTAGTTGTTTCAAAACGTGAATCTTCAAAAATGATTAGATAGCCTCTGCTAATAACTCACCTTGTCACGCATTCCTCAGCATCAGCGAATTCCTCTGAGCACGCCCACAAATCCGACCCGTGATCTGGGCTGGCCTTGTTGCTGGCAAGTTCGTTACCTAAGTCTTTCGATTTGGCACCTACGCAATTGCTCCAATTAAGCTGGTCACTTTGCAAAAACTTTAATAAAGCATATTTAAAGCTCATCTGGGCTCATCTAAGCCTTGACAAAGTCAATAAACAAATGTCAAGCAACAACAAAAGCTTCAAAAATATTTTAAATTTAGTTTGAATTGTACACATGTATTTTTCGGCTGTAAAGCACTTGAGTCAACATTTAACAAGAATTCTACACATACGTCGAAATAAGTGACTTAAGTGTGTCAAACAGACAATGTCAGTGGCTCGCCAGCAGCGCTGTCATCGACTTCGCCTGCGGCAGAGGTAGCAGCAGCATCATCAGCACTTGTGCTTAATTTGCCAGCGCATTCAAGTTGATTGGCTGCATTCTAAGCGGTGCTGGATGACTAAGCCAAAGAAGTTACAGCTGCCAAACAGCTGGCCAAGGCTACTTACCCCTCCCCACAATGTCGTGCAATGATCGAACATAAATAAATAAATATATGTATGTACATTATAATTGTATGACACTTGCGCAATAGTCAAGCAAAATTGAAGTGCGATTTGCATAGATTTACCTTTGATTAGCAGCTAAGAGCGAAAACTGAAAACTTTCCAATTTTTGGCGTCTGCTTGTGAATTGGCTGGTCGCCAAAGAGCCGTTAATTCAATTTAGGCCGAAGATCTATAAATTAGCTGCACTCTCTCGCGCCAAATTATGTAAACCATGGCAACCAAATTATGTCAATGCGGTTTCTGTTTTGTTAACATTAACACACAAAGAAAACAAAACTGAAACAAGCCGAAAAGAAAAAAATCAACTCATGATTAGGTAATCGTTCCAAAAACCACTTGGCACGACACACAAGCATCAAAAAGCACGAGTGCAACAACAACCACAACCTCTAAAAAGGTCTTTCGTTGTGTTAACAACTTTTTCTCTTTCGTTGGGCATCTTCACCGAACGCGTGCAGCGAGAAATGAAAGTGAAACTTTATATTTGTATGTTTATTTTTATTTTTTTTTTAATTTTTTGAAGTTTGTCTGACGCCCAATAATTGGGTGTTCATCTGAACGAAATTCAAATTGAGTTCGATTATATGATCGCTTGCTTCTTTAAAAACAAATATAATAAATTGTCTTTAAATTAACACACTCATGAATATTAATAAAAATAAAATTAAGGGGCAACGGTAGCCAAAGTATTTAGTTGGAATTTCAACTTGTCTCAATGCGAATTCTAATGCTTTGTATAATTATGCAATCTATCAAGGAGAACACTCTAACAAATGCAAAGGGGGAAGTTAACTTGGCTAGTAGTCGGCTTTACAAGTCTGCGGATCTACGCTTCCGTTGGCACGTTCTCAAATGGCTTTAAAGTCTGCACATTCTACAACAAATTAAATGGTGATGATTAATGATCGTTGGCCACTTGCAGACTGGTCAAATTCCATATTATGCTAATGCTCATGAATGTTAAACGCACTTTAAATTGTCCAAATTAAAATGTGCGTATAAGGTCAACTATAAAGGTGAAGAATTCAAGATTAAACAAACTAACAAAGAGACACTTTTAAGAGCAGCAATAATGATATATATAAAAAATTTTATTAGGAGTTCGTATACAGCCGATTTTGAAGTATTTTAATTTGGAACAAATTAACGAAGAGCTACAACAAAAACAAAATAATTTCAGATGTTAATTTTTTCATGTAAAGTTTTACTTACAAAAACCGATATATAAAAAATTATAGACTATTTCATGCTTTAATTTTCTTCAGAATTCAAACAGGTAATTTTGTCATTCCTGTCATTTCTCTTTTGTTAGCAAAAATGGGAATTTGTTAGCAAACACATTAATTCATTCATTAACAGCATTCTCCGATAGCAGAACGATAGCGCCTGCGCCAGCTTATTTTAAATCAAACAACTAATAAAAACTCGAAATACCAAATTAAATCAATGAATAATAGGATATGCCAAAAACTGCTTTATAATAAATTAGCAAGCGAATACCAAAATCCTAATTAACAGAACACCGATGAGTTCAAGGTTTCTATAAACCACTTTCTGGAATTGTTGTTTTTTGTGAGGTTTTCGAATGAGTGCCTCCTATATATCTGTATACAGATTGGAAGAACAGTCGACTTTTATTTGATATAATTCTTGCTAATTTAATTTTCAGTTTTTCTCGTTTTTCTATCGCTGAGCATTTATCTCTTTTTTTCGATATTTATAAAGTAACTTAGGTATTTGTGATTATCTGTTTAAATGGCTTTAGCAATTAATCTTCGATTGTTTGACTGAAGAATTGGCAAGCATTCAAACGTTGTGCAAGCATGCGGCAAAAAGTTGAATGGACTTCGAATAGGGAAAAACTGAGACTGCAAAACTGGAAAAGCTGACCAACAAATTATTCCCGAATGCGTTTCCTGGTGCAAAGTGAAAGGCACTCGATCGAGTAGCTGACCCTGAGCGATCTCAGTTGGACACAGGTTATGAAAGATAAATCAAGAAGCCAGCAAGTTCGTTGCCTAAGTCTTTAGTTTCAGAGCCCAACCAGTTTTCTTAACAACTCACATGCAGAACATATATGTTATTAACGCTCTGATCAATGCAATAAAAACACACATTGATAAATGTGCATATAGATCTACCTTGCTTGCTTGCCGGACCACTATTCAGTTGTCGGGTTAACCCAAATAGCATACGATATGCACAACAGCAACAACAACAGTAACATACGTGGTGACGCCCCAAAAAAAAAAATGCTTGTGTTGTGTTGTTTTCGCTGCTGATCTCTGGTTACATGCAGTTCAGAGTGTTTGCATGGCACTTGGACTGGGTCTCTGACACAATCAGCCACCCGAAAAAAAATATTCCATAAAATCGGCCAAAAACAAAAACACAAACTTCATTGAGACACAAAAATCTTGTTTCGCCCAACTCAAGCAACTGGTTTATTTGGGTTAAAAAGAAATTTAAACAACCAGCGGACAACTGATGCGACTTTAGAGCGCAGCTGCCGACAGTTAACGGTACCAGGCATCTGTAAAGATGAAAGTGAAATTTTGTTTGAGGTTTAGCGAAACATAACCAACAAAAAAAGACACCGAAAATAAATACACAAAATATGGCAGCGGCGACAAAGACGTAATCAACTTAAGGATGAAGTGGGCCCCTCAACAGGCTTGACTGGGCATATTTTTTTGTGGTTGTTGTTTATGTTATTATTGTTGTTGTCGCTTGCGGTAGTTAAACAACAGCACCATCAAATAGTGGCAAAGGTTTGCTTAGCTCTTCATAAAAAACGTTAAGTTTATTTTATTTCTTTATTTCTTTGAGCTGATTTGCAGTGATTTTTGTGAATTTTGGCAGATGGGCTTCCGTCATTTGAAAGCCACCTTGGACTGTCTCTTACAAAGTATCTACTGAAGATGCCAACAGCGGGAAGTGAACAGGTTTGAGTTTGATGGCTATGAGCTTAACTGTCATATTTATTGCCTGATTTTCGCTCAAATTTAGCTGGCAACTTAATTTTCGAAGCTGTGTGTAAAAAAATATGTAACAGAGCGCATTATTTGTATAATTTTGATTGGCACTGCATAAAAATAATATTTCTTACTCTTATTTGCATTCACATTCATATGTTTATTTTTATTTAAATACTCCAGCTAAATTTCGCTTTAATCTAGCATCAGTTTTTTTTCTAAACTTTTATACTCAACTCTTTTCACTTTTGCATATTTCATCAACTCAAATTTACCTAAATGCTCAGCCTCAGGCACGGCTCAAGTTTTCACAAAAGGTGCGTCAATAATTGAACACAATTTTGTTAATGCTTCTCGAATATTTTGTGGGCTTACAAGTATTTAATTTTGTCACTTGAGTCTGCCAGTAAATGTTTTGGAGCACACACGACCAACTTAAGTGCTGAGTAACACCTGAGGCGCTTTTGTGTGGCCAGCTCGTGGCTACAGCATTAATATGTGGCACAACAAAATGATAAAGAGGCGACCTTGATGTTACTGAAGCCAGACAGTAATCAGCTGACATGCTAAGCTGCTCATATTATTTACCCATTATCTGCCATAGAAATGCGTTTATTAGCATTCAGCGCCAGAGTTTAGGCCAGAAACAGAAACAGGCCAACAAAATGGAGGGGCCAAAATGAGAGTTATTGCCATTGCCTTTGCCGCTGCCTACCAATATCAAGCTGTATGCACTTTCGCAATGAAAACGAAAGTTACGCCCCGCATATTTGTGGCTTGATGAGCCACACACTCACACATGTATGTGTGTGTGTGTGTGCTTGAGGTAGACGCGTGACTTGGCCAACATGTATACTTTCTGGCCATACAAAAAAACTGATCGTATGCACACATATGTATATGAATTATGATCTTCACGCCTGTTTGGTTGCTTTGCATTCGAACAACAACAACAACAACAGCAACATTTGCAAGTCTTGGCAATGTAACAAATATTTTGAAGCCACATTCGATGAACGCCAACTCAAATTGCATCATTGCTATGGATAATAATGTTGTTAAATGCAGGCCACTGTCATATTTTGTTTGCACTTGAAACTTCAGTTTATTGCGGTTTTTGAGCCGAGTTTCCTCATCAAAGCTAGAAGAGTCTAGTCACGGGCACAAAAAATAGTTTGTTGTTGCTGCAGCTGTTACATCTGCTTTTTTCTGGCTTATTGTGTAATGGCTGCCAAGAAACTCACTTGTAACACACAAAAAAAAAAAAAAAAAAAAAAGCAGCAACACCAGCAAGTCGTGAAAAGAGTCTTGTGACTTGCTTGTGTGTTTGTGTTGGTGCTGTTTTAATGTTTTAAAGAAAACATGTTTGTTTGCTGCTGTTGCTGTGTTGGTGGTAGGAAATCATGTGCAAAGTCTTATGACGCTATGCAGCTACGTGGTTTGGAGTAATTGCAGCGAGTCATGGCTTATGGATGCCAATGAGTGAGTGTAAGCCTTATTTAGATGTATATGTACAAAATGTTGACTTCGTTGCCGTTGTCGGTTTTGTGGCAGTAGTCATGTGGCTACAGGCTGATGCCCGCATATTTTGGCCAAGCCGCATTCGCAGTTGATAATGAAAACGACGCCTTTAGCTTAAACAACTCAACTCAAAATGCCAACGGACTCGCATAACTAATGCGCCTACTCAATCTGCTTCCGTAAATTAAAATACTTCTCCTACTCAACTGTAATATTATACAATCTTTACTAGCTAATGATCAATGGCCCAATATCATAAATATTTCAGATGCCACCTGAATTCTTAACAGTTTTTCATACAAATTATAGATTTAATTAAAATATGTAAAATGTATCACAAATCAATAGCATTCGTCATGCTTCATTTGCGAAGTATACTTTTTAGCTGTATTCAAATCTTTTTGTTTTCATTTATTTTTTTAATACGCTTAAATATTCAATAAATATCGTTACAAACAAAAGATTAAATTATCTTTTAAATTTATTATTTTTTTTGTTTCAATATTATTGCAACATTAAACCATTTACGCATTTGCAAAACCTTTGCCACGCCTATTAATCATTTTGTTAGGGCCATTTTTAGCTGTTGCACCTATTTTTTGCTCGCTTTAAAGGTATTGAAGCAATTGCTGTTATTGCATGACTATTGCAACTGGCGCCAAGATTGTTGCCTAAGTCTTTTGTATGTATGCTAGGGAAAAAACAACAATAACAACAACGAACAACTGTTAGCTATTAACTATACCGTTGGCCGTAAGCATATTTCGTTGTTCCCGCTTAGCTCATGAAATTGTTTACAACAATTCGCATTCGATTCGTGATTAAATCTATGGCTACCGAACTATCAACACTTGCAAATGAAGCATAAATTGTTGAGCTTAACTGATTTTAATTAATTTGTATATTGTGTGACTGTAGGTAAGTGGCGAACATAATTGGCCAGGCAATTTTTGCTAAATTGCACAACATTTATTAAATGTGAGGACAATACCGCAATTAGCTATGATATATTATCATTATCATGAAGATTATGACTGCCTCCTGCTGCTTGATGCTGCTGATGTAATTATCTCCTATTGTTTGATTACTCAAACGCAATAAATATTAAACCATCTTTAAAAACAAACATTAAAAGTATTTGAGCGGGTAATCTTCAACAGAAGCAGATGGAGTTGTATGTAAAAAAAAATACTTGACTTGTTTGACTTGTTCCATGTGCCATTTGGTATTTAAGACTCTCACGTGTTTTTGTAATTGCCAATTGACTAACTGACTGACTGACTGACTGACTGACTGACTGACTAACTGACTGACTGAGCATTGTAAAAATGCAAAAATAAAATGCAAATATGCGTTTGAGCTGCTGCTGCTATCTTTGACTTAACAGACTTTCAGTGAATAAACTTGCAAATAAAAGAAAAATAATAATGAGAATAATAAAACGTACGAATGCTCTAGTTGAGAGTAGTTTTTATTTGCTATCGTTGGTTTTATTGCTATCGTAGATCGATATCACAAATAAATATAACATAATAATCACAAAATTTAAGAACTAGTTTTATCATAGCAATATATCAGTTAAAATTATACTCGCAACCCCTTATTGCCAAAACTGTACTTCTTTGTTGATCAGTTATCTCGTCATCCTATTTAACTCGCCTCCATATTATATTTCTGTCAATACGTTATTAAAACAATTCGATTCGATTCAAATTTTAACACATGCGGTCGAGTAGACATTGAAAATCCGGTCACATGACGCATTAAAAACCATCAAATAAATGTATAAAGTAATACGCTTAATAAGTTCAAGCTTCTACTGAAGTCCGGTAACAAAAGCCTAATAATAAAAGTTCCCCGCCATAAATATAAGCTTAGCTTAACTGCCACAGAAAAGAGACAAGTCTGTAATGGATTATCTTATTATTGATTGCTCAACTTTCGCTTTTAGACATAAACTCTCTCGATTAATTGAATTATCAAATAAATTGTGCACTCAATTTAAAAACTATTCAACGGTGTCATAAGCGACAACAAAATGTTAAATAACGCATACGTAGCGTGTGACGCGCATTTCTATTTGCGGTTTTTTACACAGCTGCTTAAGCTGATTGTTGTTGCTGTTGTGGTAGTAGTAGGATTCGTAGTAGTCGGTGACTGGTAGCATCAAAGTCAGGTGTGACACAGTTTTTGGCATTCGCCAAACGCGACATACTTTAATTCCACATATAGACCCCACCACCCGCAACACACCCACAAATACCACAAATGATTTATATAAGAGATCATAAATAAAACTATAAAACACATGTTTATTTGGCTAACTGCTGTTCATTCACTCTGTCGCTGTCTGCTTAGCTTCTCTATAGCTTTCGCTTTCAACTAATGCGACGTGACTGCCTTAACGTTGTTATCCATTTGTTACCCATGTTCTGCGCCAATGCAGCAAATAAACATATACATGTACATATACCAACATATGTATATATACAAATAAATAAGTAAATAAAACGCTATTCGTGCTGTGCAATATTGTTGTGCCAATTGTGAGACTCGCCAATTGCACATGATTCAATTCAATTGCTCGGGCATCGCAACTGACGTGCAAATTGCATGAATCGAATTTTCGTGGCATTTGCCTTATTATTTTTTTTGTATATTTGGCTTTTCTTTTAGCAAGAAATGTCGAAATGCGAATGTTTTGGCTGTTTGCACTGTGACGAAATATTCAAGTTATTGCTATAATGTATATCGAATTAGACAAGATGTGCTTATTGGAACTTAGAATATTTGTTGACTCACACTCATGAATTTTATTGACAACAAGCTATTCATTCGAATTCCTGCAAGTATTCAGGTTTTTGGGGACTTTTTACGTACGTTATTTTTAACATAATCGATAAAGGTGTTTCGAACTTTATCTGTAGCTAAAAACAAAAGACTTAGGAAACAAACTTGTTGACGTGCATGCACCTCACTTTCCTAACAAAAAATCTATTTACTAAAACAACTGAAAGAAATCAACCTTGAATACATTGCTGAAAGGCACAAAAAGCATATTAATATAAATACAAAAAAAAATGCAAAAGCAGCACAAAAATATGTACTCGAAAACTAATTAAAGTGCACGAAATGCTTGAGGAAAACCAGAAACCAAAAACGAATACAATAATTATTATACCAAATCTGAATGTACTTCTATCGAGTGGTAAACGTCATTATGCTTATAAGTATGTACTTATATATATATAAATACATATACATATATGTATATGCCGGATAAGTAATGTATTGCAGAGGAAATGCGTCATTTCACTATAGGTTGATAGGCATATGAATGAGCTCATTATTGAATTGTATGGATGTTTTTTGGACGCCCACAATAAATTGCAATTGTTGCACAATTTAACGGACAAAGCTGCTCAAGCATACCAAATTGCTCAAATTGACAAGAGACAAACAAATGCCAAAGAAATAACAAAAGACAACAACAACAACTTGAATATTGATGTCAAAGACAACAAAACAAAAACCTCAACACGTGAGGCAGCCAAAAAGACCCATGGAGAATAACCTAATGGCAGACACTATAATAACAACAATAGCCAAATCCGACTATAACACTATAATAAGCCAGTTAGTCAGGTAGTCTGTTGCTCAGTCATATTTGGGGGCACTCTTCAGAGTATAACACTTGAACAATGATTGTTCATAATTTGAGTTCGAATGGTGGGGGACGGCAGTTTCATATCCGGCTTGGTTTGCGATGCTCGATCTTAAGTTATTCGCCTCATGCATGCTGCGCGTCTAATTACCAGCGTAAGCAAATGGTGGCGCTGTGAAAAACGGCGGCCAATTAAAAAAGCTGGAAAACGCCAGAGTAATCAACATGAACTCATCATAATGGGTCTGATATCAAGCGATGGGGAAAACGTTGTGTAAATTTAAATGACTACAAAGTTTTTCTATCTAATCCGGAATTAATAATAACAATTTATTTTAATCAACTTTACTCATCTATTAACTAGGCATTTGACTACAATATTAAAATAGTCGTTTTTAATGCTATTGAATAATAATCAAGTTCAAGCGATCGACAACAATATTTAAGAGCTGATTTAATTTTGTCGTCTCTTTTACACCCACTATTCATGCTGACTTTCTTGCTGCATGTTATCGACAATCGATTGCATTTGTGCTTTTGAATTGCAATGTTTGGTCACACTCGCTGATAAAGTGGGGCATTTTCAAATAAAGCTGCACTCAAATTGGACTTAGTCATAGTTAATTATCGTTACCTTCATCAAAATTGGTTTATTATTTATTTAAAACAATTATACTAACAATATAAGTTTGTCGTACATTTGCAGGTGCCTTTGCGCTACCAGCTTCACGCTACGCATACCAGAGGATCTCGAGAATAGCGCCATCAATGCGCTGCACTCGGAACGTGCTCGCTCTGTGAAGCCCTGTGGCCAGAGCGATTCCAATGCTGCCGCAGACTATGATGTCTGCCCGCCGAGCAAATTCCGCCAGCCAACGGCCGAATGCAACAATGTATCGCATCGCAAGTGGGGCGCACGCGGCGATGTATTTTTGCGTCTGCTACAAGCGGACTATGCTGACGGCGTCAATCAGCCCCGCAGCTCTAGCGGCACACACACCTTACCCGACGCCGAGCTGGTAATTGAGCAGCTGCAGCGTCATGTAGAGAGCGAGCTGCGTCACGATCACATCACTGCCATGCTGCCTGCCTGGGGCCTGCTGTTGGCCAACGATCTGTACGAGGTGGGCCAGCTGCCCATAAGCGGCAAGTGCTGTCAACGCGAGGCCAACTCCAAGGATCCCAGCGAGCTGCAGCAATGCTTTGTTCGCTCCGGTACCCACTGCAAGGAGTACAAACGCTCCGCACCCGGTTTCGATGCCGAGGTCTGCAAGAAACGTAAATGATATTGAAATATACACAGATTAGTTATCTTCCTTCTTTTGCTAACCTCTATTTCTTGCTCTAAATGCAGATGTTCGCGAGCAGATGAACATTGCGTCCGCGTATATTGATGGCTCTGGATTGTATGGCGTTACTCGTCATGAATTCGATCAGCTGCGCACGTATATCAGCGGTGGTGTTAAGGTGGAGTCCTGTCGCTATTGCCAGGTGGCTGGGGCCACTGGTGCACTGCATCGTGCACTGTTGCAACAGCACAACAATATTGGCGAGCGGCTGGCGCACATCAATGCGGATTGGTCCGAGGAGGATGTTTTCCTGGAGGCTAGGCGTATTATAACCGCTACCATACAGCACATTACCTACAACGAATTCTTGCCATTGGTGCTGGGTCAGGAGACGACGGCCAAGGAGGCTCTAAGACTGACCGCCGAGAAACATTCCACCAACTACTCCAGCTCTATACGCGCTGGCATCTTCAACGAGTTTGCGACCAGTGCCATGCCTGCCTTCTGGAGCATGTATCCCCCAGAGATGCTCTCCCAAAAGAGCTCCGCCCACGAGCTACTCTCGATTGCAGCGCTGCAAAAGTCTCTGGTGCCCAGCCAGACAAATGACGAGGGCTGGACCGAGTTGGCTCTGGCCGTGCATCGTGGACGTGATCATGGTATTGCTTCCTATGTGCATGGCTTGGATATATGCAATCGTCGCTTCGCACAAAGCGGCGCTGCCAACGTGACCTTTGAGAATCTCGCAGAGCTGACCAACATTCCCGAGGAGCATGTGACCAATTTGCGTGACATTTATCAGTGAGTTTGTATATCAAATAGCTTCACAGAAATGATTCAAGTCCTAACCATTCCCTGGTCACCTCTTCTTTAGGAACGCTGCGGATATTGATCTGCTGGTAGGTGCCTTGCTGGAGGATCCCGCTGTAGGTTCTTTGTTTGGACCCACAATCACTTGTCTGATGCAGCAGCAGTTTGAGCTGCTCAAGCAAACCGATCGCTTCTGGTACGAGAATGAGATTCCACCTTCATCCTTCAGTCTTGAGCAGTTGAAGAGCATACGCCAGACGTCGCTGTCTGGTCTGCTCTGCGGTTCCCATCAAGTCACAACGGCACAGTCCAAGGCTTTCATACGTGAGGATAACTATCTGTAAGTCCACTCCAGCTAACAAACTATATTTTACTTTTTCCTAATAAGCCTTATTCCATCTCGCGTAGGAACTCCGTTCTGGACTGCACACAGCTGCCTCAGTTTGATCTGCGCCCGTGGAAGATGAATGCCGAAGAAGAGATCCAGTTGGAGCACGTCGAAGTGGAACCCGACACCAAGGAAGCCATGAGTGAGCTGAGTCCACAGCTGATTGAAGCTGCCGTCGAGCGCGCCAAGCTGGAACTGGAGGAACGCAAACGTTTTGAATACGAAGTGTGGCGTTCACGTAAGTTAAACTGACAACTTCAATCTGAAAGATCATCTATATATGGCAATTAATATCTAATATTTACCTGCATATCTTTTTATAGAGGGCGGCATCAGTGCTCGTTCACCCGATGGTACCGCCGCTTCTTTCAGCAAGGCCAATCGGGCTGCCCTGATTATGGCGAACTCCTCCTTGATCTTTGAGCTCGCGTCCAATGAGATTGTCAAGTCATTGAACACCATAACGCGTCACAAGCGTCAGATCTTTAATCCCAATCAGAATGCCTTCAATCGCAACGAACTGACTGATACCCTGCAAACGGTGGATATTAGTTCACTGATTGGTGCATCTCTGCAGGCACTGGACTCATGTCCAGAGCCCTCACAACAATGTGATGCAAACACGCCATTCCGTACGCTCTCCGGACGTTGCAACAATTTGCGCAACCCTAATTGGGGAAAGTCCTTGACGACCTTCTCACGTCTTTTGCCCGCACAGTATGAGGATGGCATCTCCGCGCCCAAGATAACCGGTGTGAATGGCACCCCACTGCCAAATCCACGTACGATCTCGACAGTTATACATCCGGATATTTCGAATCTGCACACACGCTACTCACTGATGGTGATGCAGTTTGCCCAGTTTCTTGATCACGATGTGACACTAACGCCTATTCACAAAGGTTTCCACGAGTCTATACCCAGTTGTCGATCCTGCAACTCCCGCCAGACGGTGCATCCCGAGTGCAATCCGTTCCCGGTGCCATCCGGCGACTTCTTCTATCCCGAGGTAAATGTAACAAGTGGCGAACGTTTGTGCTTCCCCTCGATGAGATCCCTGCCCGGCCAGCAGTCGCTCGGACCGCGTGATCAGATCAATCAGAATACCCACTTTTTGGATGCTTCTATGGTGTATGGCGAGAATATGTGCATCGCGAATAAATTGCGTGGCTTCTCCGGCAGATTGAACAGTACGGTGCATCCGGTGCGCGGCAAGGAACTGCTTCCATTAAGCGCCACACATCCCGAGTGCAAATCTCGCAACGGTCTTTGCTTCATTGGCGGCGATGATCGCGCATCCGAGCAACCAGGTTTGACTGCCATCCATACAGCGTTCCTACGCGAGCACAATCGTGTCGTCGAGGGTCTGCGCGGCGTGAATCCACACTGGAACGGGGAGCAGCTGTATCAGCATACCCGTCGTATCATCAGCGCCCAGGTGCAGCACACAGTGTTCAATGAGTTCTTGCCCCGCATTCTCAGCTGGAATGCTGTCAATCTCTATGGCTTGAAGTTACTGCCACAAGGCTACTACAAGGACTACAATCCATCGTGCAGTCCAATTGTATTCAATGAGTTTGCTGCTGCTGCTTTCCGCATTGGCCACTCACTCCTCCGTCCACATATTCCCCGGCTCAGTGTCCAGCATCAGCCTGTGGATCCACCTCTGCTGTTGCGCGATGGCTTCTTCCGCATGGACATCCTGCTCCAGCCAGGCATTATTGATGAGATTCTGCGTGGTCTAGTCGCGACGCCCATGGAAACACTGGATCAGTTCATCACCGGCGAGGTGACGAATCATCTGTTTGAGGATCGCAAGATTCCCTTCTCCGGCATTGATCTGATTGCTCTCAACATTCAACGCGGTAAGTTTTGTTAATCAGTAAAATATGGAAAAAGGATGATTTTAAGTAGTCAACATTTTAAATCATAAGCCGAGCTTTCTTATAAGTAGTCTACATTGTTTCCCGAAAAACTTTTATTAATAGCTCGTGATCATGGTATTCCATCATACAACAACTATCGCGCTCTGTGCAATCTGAAGCGTGCATCCACCTGGACGGATCTGAGTCGCGAAATACCTACCGAAGTCATCAATCGCTTCCAGAAGGTCTATGCTAGCGTGGATGACATCGACCTATTCCCTGGCGCCATGACAGAGCGTCCGTTGCAAGGCGGCCTCGTTGGACCCACGCTGGCATGCATCATTGGAATTCAGTTCAGGCAGCTACGCAAATGCGATCGCTTCTGGTATGAGAATCAAAATCCGGAAGTCAAATTCTCCGAGGCTCAGCTGGCTGAGTTACGTAAGGTTACGCTGGCCAAGATCGTCTGTGAGAATCTGGAGATTCAGGGCGATATGCAGCGTGCCGCCTTTGATTTGCCCAGCAATTTCCTGTAAGTCAAAATAGTTTTTAATTCCTTTTAGAATAATCAACTAATTCGATTGTGTTGCCACAGTAATCCACGAGTGCCCTGCCAGTCCATGCCACAAATTGATTTGAATGCCTGGCGCGAGAATGTCCAAGGCTGTCAAATTGGCAGTCGCAATGTGCGGGTTGGCGAATCCGCCTTCCCCTCACCCTGCACCAGCTGCGTCTGCTCCGCTGAAGGCGTAAGTTGTTACCCAAAATCAATATATTCTAAATTCTAACTTATCCCCATTGCTATTTACAGCCCCAGTGCGCTTCGTTGCGCATCACGGACTGCGGCCAGCTGATCCGTCAGTGGCCCAAGGATGCCATTCTGCGCGATGAGGTGTGCAATTCACAATGCGGCATCTATTTGACCGGGCAACAGGCTTCGGGCTTTACTCCACAGCAGCGACAGGGACATGCCCAGTCGCGTGTGACTCGTTCCCGGAATCAGAACCTCTTCAAGTTCCCCGACTTGACGCCGTTCATCGCATCCTTGTAAATGAGGTGACCAGAGAAAGCCGGCTTTCCGTACATTGTTTTGTAAATAACTTTTGCGTTCTTTAGTTTCTTATATTCGCTTACCCGAAGAAGACTTTTCCGAAGCATATACCCTAATCTTAGATACTATTCAAACTAGAAAAAGATATCCAACCAATTGCATTGCTCGTGAATCTTCGCAAATTACAAATTCTTGTTTCGGCACCACCCAAATAAGTGATTCTATTGTAAGTTAAGCGACAACTAATTAGCATTTTTATATTTGTATGTAATATATTTTTTACCTAAACCGTATGATTGTCAAATATATGTACTTAATTAATAAAAATATAAACAATATAAACAAACCGAGAAAGAGGAAGTTTTCATGCAAAGGAATCTTTTGTTTAGGACTATCCCTATGTCCCTCGGATCACAGATTGTAAGTTTCGAAAATCGGTAAGCGCTACAGCTATTATTTGAAAAGTGAAAAGTATTTTGATCCCCTAAAAGTATGCTTCAAAACATTGGTTGTATCAACCACAGATTCTAAGTTTCGAAAATCGGTAAGCGCTGAAGCTATTATTGAATCCCCTAAAAGTATGCTTCAACACATTGGTTGTATCAAACCGAATCCAACTAGTCATTCAATTTTATAGCCTAACATTATGCTTTGTATTCAGCTCATTATCAGGAACCGAGAACATTTGATTCATTTTGATTTGGGTTATTTGATTTACTTATTGATTGATTTTTCCGTTATTTATGAAAGAAAACATATCGTTTGTTTAAATAATTGTTTGCTTTATTTAGTTTTGCTCTTTGAACGTGGTTCCATTACAGCAAATAATTTGTGTAGTTTAGATAAGATCTCTATAATGCCGACAATAAATAACAAAACTCACAAAGTACGATTAAATCTAAAGAGGGTTTACTATGCATATATGTATGTATGTATATATATTTATGTATTTAGTTTTTTCTTAAATTTGTTTGTTGACAAAAAAGATGTTAGACACAGACGCTAGAAATGCTCTTAGTTGCACACAGGTGTTTAACGCTTTTAATAAGCGATATTAACTTTTGCATTTTTCTGGGCTTTGCAGTGGGCCAACCCCAAATTAGTCATACTCTGTTACATAAATACATACATAGACATATGTGTTGTATATGTATAGATGGTATATTATATATATTATTATCGCATATGTTTATAATAGTTAATTACATTTATTTAAATTCGAATAGAGCGCATAGAGAAAAATACAAAGCGCTTAGTATTTTATATGTTGTATATATTAATATTATCTTGTTGATGTTGTTGGTTTGTTGTTGTTTTTGTTGTTGTTCTTGCTGCTGCTGCTGTTGTTAAACATGCTTAAGCTGTTGTGCTAATTGTGCTAACCACAGATAATTCAACTAATTGCCGCAGTGCATATGACAAATAGGCATTCAAAATACAATACTTTTCATGTGTTTCGTGTTGCATCGTGTTGTTGTTCGCATTTGCAACAACTCGCATGACAAACAACAATTAACTAATTTGCATTTTTTTTTTGTATTTTTGGTACATTTTGTGCTTAAGTGTCTAGAGAATTTGACTTCTTTGCTTTTAGTATCGTATTTATATGGATAGTATATATGTTTGGACTAAACTAAAATTGAAGTTACACACACAGCAGATAGTGTCAAATATACATTAATGTAAGTATAAGTTTACACATATAGTTGTAAATATATAATTTATAGGAATCTTGCTATTTAGTTTTATATTATCAAATTGCTATGCCACAATTTGCTTATGCGTATGGTATGTTCTTTTTTCTTGCTTTTCTATTATCTGTTTTGTATTGTTTACGATACTGTGTTGTGCTCAAATGTTGCGATGTGGTTTATTTTTTTTTTATAATATATACAAAATGGATGTGAGAAATGTGGCCTATGTACAAATTATAATTGTTTAATGACAGTCAAAAGTTGGGGCTGTGGCGACTGGCATTTTACTTGTCTGCTGTCTCCGAGTGGCGACGCGCCAGCAAATGGTGGTGGTGGTGGTGTTGTTGTTGTTGTTGCTGCTGATGCTGTGGGTAGAGTGGCAGATTGTGGCCATTTGTAAATGGCAAACTCTCCAGTTGACCCATTTTACCCACAATTTTTGGTATTTTATCACTGTCCGCGCTGCTGCTGAGGCCAATGAGGCCGCTCCCGCCAATGCTGGCACTGCCAATGCCGCCGCCAATAATGTGCTGCTGCTGATGATGATTGTGGTGCAAATGCGAATGGTTATGATGGTGATGGTGATGATGATGGTAATGATTATTGTGGTTGTGTGGATGGCTAATTGTAGGCGCGCTTTTACATAGCGCCATATCCTTATGCTGGCTGCTGCAGCAGCCATTTAACTCCAGCGCTCCCTTCAGCGAGCTCGTCTTCCGCACTTGAAGGCAGCTCTTGCAGCGCTGCTTTTGTGCTGTCGCTGCCTTGCCTTGGGTCAGTGCATTGAGATTGGCTGCCACCAGTTGGGCCTGGAGCGTCTTTGAGGGTGAAACGGGAGTGCTGTCATCTTCGCCAGTTGGCGGCGGTGTTGAGAGGCGGCTGGAGACGGTGGAGGAGCTACTTGAGGACAAACAGCTGCTGCTACGGCTGCTCTGGGCGACATATCCATTCCTTGTGTGAACATCCGTTTCGGTGTCCTCATCCTCCTCATTCTCATTGTCATCCTCATCCTCATCATCACTGGGCTGGTTGCTGCTGGGGCGAGAAGCGATGGCAATGTTGTTATTAGTTGCTGAGCTGCTTTTGGCAAAATTCAGGCCATTTACGCTTGCTTCAGCTTCAGCTACAGCTACAGCTACAGCCACATCATCATTCTCAGTTAACGCCTGCTTGCTGTCACCATTCGCTATCACAATTTGCTGCTGCTGCTGCTGCGGTTGATCCTGACTAGTTTTCACATCGTCGGCCAGATCAATCCAATGGCCGCGATTATCACGCACGCCCTCAACGAGTGGCTCCAGCTTGTCCGAGAGCTTAGCAAAGGCCTAAAAGAACGTTAAGGACAATAAATATATAATGACTAAGCACTCTGTGGTAAGTTGACAACTTACCTCATAGATGGGCAGGCATATTGAATCAATAAAGTTCACCTGCATCATGGGCAGCTCATCCTCCTTTTCACGATTCATGATATCCTGTAAAAGAAAGGCAAATGTGTGACAATTTATAAATGTATTTGTTAAATTATTCATTATTATCGGTACAGAAAACCATTTCGTTAAATATTTTGTTAGTTTGCAGTAATAATTATTTCCAGTACAAAAGAAAACTCACAATAGGCGTTATATTCAGCTCCTGTTTCTCCATGTCGCCCTGTTCGAAGAACTCGGAGCTAACCAAATCGGCCACTCGCTTCTCAATCTCCCACGGCTTTGTTATGGCCGACAAATCACAGACAGTCATGCTCATCGCACGCAGCAAGGCGCGCGGCTCTTCTGCAACCCAATAGCTCGACGGCTGTTGCACACTCTCCAAGAACGGACCGCGTTTTCTGTAAAGATTAATCAATATGTAAGAGCCATAACTATAGCAACAAAATCTCTTTCACTCACTTGAAATAGACAGCGAGGTCTGTTGAGAGAATGGCATCCTCGAGTACGCGTATGACGCGACAGTAGTCATCTGAGGACAGATTGCCCAAGATTTGATTACCAGGACTATTCAGTATCATCAAGCACTGATCGAAATGATGATGCTCCATGGTTGATGTGGAGTACAGTTGTGCCAGCGGCGAAGATGCTCTACAATTAGCAACATTTACACAGCAGTTAAGGGTTTAATCAAATTTTCTGCGTGGTTATTTTTACTTACTTAATCTGGAAGGAGTTGTTGGTCCCTCGATGATCGAGATCATGGCACAGGCAGCCAATAATTAACGCCAAGCATTCAATTTCACCAAAGATCTTCCACCATTGTGTGGTCTATTTTGAGATAAAAGTACATATTAATTGTATAATTCGTATTCTTTTCGTATGCCACACTTACTGTTAGTATGGCGAACATCATTTGTGCCACATTGAAGGCGTGTCGCCAATTGTGATAGGTCACATTGCGATAGTTCTTCTTGACGCTGAGCAGCCAACGGCAAAGCACTTCGTAATCGATATGGAAACGCTCAACAAAATCGAGATCCAGAAACATACGCAAGCAGGCCTATGAAAAAAAGACGACTATTAGAAAATTGCATAATATTTTGATCGAATATCAAACTTACCTTAAGCGTGTCATCGTCTTCGAAGTGTATATCATCGAATTTAAAATCGTGCAGACGAAAATGTACAGCGGATGGAACCCGAAGGCGCTATAGGTAAAAACATAGAAATAATGTAAACGATTAAATAGCGGTTTAATAGTAATCGATAACATAACAGATAATATATATTCCTTTAATATGATATGGCTTAGAAGATCAATAAACTCTCATTATACGTATTAATATTCCAATTTAGGTGAGCTTAATTTATAGCAGGACTGCTCTTTTTTCCAAATTTAAAAGACTTCAAAATACAATAATACAATTTTAAATTTGTATATTCATAAATTCTAAATGTTATATTGTACTGATCCTTATTTACTTCTGCTTAAATTGTTAACGTGAAATTCAACCCTTTTGTGTCATAATTATCCCAGTATTTGCATTTATTTTATTTTTAGTTATTTTCATTTTTGCGACGCTTTCATCTTGGCTACCTCAGCTTTTATTTACAGCACCCAAAATGTCAAAATGGAATCCGCCAAAAATAAACAAAAAAAAGAACCGAGAAATATGAACCTGAAACTCGTGCGCCCAGCAGCTGTCAGAGGAATGTTAATTGATGTCCACCAGTGGCAGCAGCAGCTCATAAAGCACTCCAACACCGTAATGCAGTACCGCAAAAAAAAGGGGTTTTCACGCCTACTTCTCTGCCCCGCACTCGACTCGTTAACTTAACTTGCTTGCGTTGTGATGGCATAATCGCCGAGGCTCTCGGTAAACGTAGCGCATAGAATGACATAATTTTAATTAAAATTAATAACCCTGCATAGTCATAGTAACTGTCCACGACAGTTGAGTTGGTTGACAAGGAGACAGGCGGCCATAATTTTAGCCCAGCATAATTACTGAAAGTGTCGAGAGAGCCAACAAACCGAGGCCCACAGGCAAAAAGATACTACAGCAACAGCAACAACAACAATAACAAAACAACAAACACAAATGCAAACACAGAGACACAGAATGATGCGACAACTTGAGGCAGTCTGGCAGGGGTATAGTTTAGGGGTGCAGAGTGGGTGGACCTGTTGATGTTGTTGTTTTTGTTGTTGTTGTTCATGTTGTGTTAGAGAAGGGGGGACACGTCTAACAAATACTCTTACCCAGTGTGCGAAAGTTTCTTTTTGTCATACTTGTGCGAACAAACTAATTACAACTGTCAACACGTTGGGCCCGGCAGAATGCCCGCATTTGCCAAGAGTTCTGCGGGGAAGGGGAATATGGGGAAGACAGGTTGGTGTTGCTTCTGCCGGCTGTTTCAGCCACTGTCACGCAAAAATAATAAAAACATGGAAGCACAAAACAGAAGGCCAACACAAGCAACAAGAATTTATGGAGTGGCATAAAAATGAGCCAAGTAAATGAGCCAAGTTATCTTCTTTTTTTGCTATTGTTGTTGTTGTTGCTGGTTGACTTGAGAACCGTTCGCACATACAAATTAAGCGTGCACGCAAATAAAATGAAACATTTAAATGCAATACCCTTTCCAATGTACGCTCAAATGAATGACACCCTGGGGTGCCATTTGAAAAGAAGAATAACTTACTCGCAACCGATGAGCATCATCCATGGTGGCAGATGCATGATAGCTGAGCACCTCCAGTGTCACACTCTGCTTGGCCATTGCCACAATTGCCTTCTCGTACATGTGCGTATTGTGGATGCCCATGCCGCAGAATATGGCGAATGCCTCCACAAAGTTCTCATCGTTCTTGGTAAAGTCCTAAAAGCAAAATGGTTTACAAATTATACATGAATATAAATGTTATGTTATATTAAATTTGCACTTTTTAGAATCATAATTCATTTGCAAAAGGTAATCACTAACCAGCTCATTGAACTTATTAATCAGCTGGATGACACCGATTATCTGACCCAGCGAGTTCTTAATGGCCATGCAGAGTATGGATCGATGCTTGAAACTGGAGTTCTCATCGACGCTCGAATCGAAGCGATCATCTTCGTAGGCATTGGGGACATTGACCGTCTCGCCGGTGGTGGCCACATGGCCAGTGATGCCAATGTTGATGGGGAAGCGGGACTCGTAGGGGCTGGTGCGTGAATTGGCCTCCTCCTCGCTCAGATCGTTGGCCTCAAAGTCAAAGACGCGCGAGAAGCTGCCCTTGTCGGCTTCGTGGACGAGCAGGATCTGGACACGCTGGCACTGGATCAGGCTCTGCATGTGGCTGAGTATGCGGAAGACCATATGCTCAATGGTGCTCTGCTCCTCGAAGATCATGCGCGCCAAATCGAGCAACACCTGATTCCGTTTAATTTCCAGCTGAGATTTCTCAAACAATTGCGCATTGCGCAATCCAATGCCACAGAACTGCAGATACGATGCGAAGACCTGCGAGAATGAATGGAATTAAGGATTATTATTCAGACATGCATCCATCAGCTGCTGCTGTTGCTGTCAGTTTCTGTGCTGGCAAGCGGCTTAAGCGCCGACATGGTCATAATCGGAAAGCAATTTCCACTGCCAAGTATGGGATTATTGCATGCTCGCAAAAAGCTTATGACTCAACAAAATTTTTCTCTTTGATACATAAATAATTGCAATCTACATATGTCAGCCACACTGCTACTGCCACTGGCACTGCCATTGCACATGCCATTGAAACAAAGAGTCTTGCAGCTTGATGATGCTAGCAGTACTCACCTTTTCATCGATTTCCGAGAAGCATTCGCCATTCATTTTGTTAATCACCTGCGCCACGCCAATCACATCACCCCCCGAATCCTTGATGGGCATGCAAAGCAGCGCCTTCGTTCGATAGCCAGTCTGTGAATCAATTTCACAGTTGAATCGCTCATCCTGCAAGAGATGCAAAAGTTGAATTGGATTTATATTATGTGTGGAATAAGGAATTATTTAATATGTTCAGATTTAGTTGCCCAGCGAAATCAGGGCACAAACCCACTTCAAAAATCCGCAGAAGTTTGACAACTTTATAAACAAAGCTTGCCAATTTGTGTTTACTGAGTGAGGAATGTGGGAATGTGAGAATGTGCCGCTTGTCAAAATTCTTTGTGGCCTCTGCAAAGTTAGACAATAGGTAGTAGACATATTTATAGAAGACCTTATTCTAAATATAACTTTATTTGGGCAAATGCCTCTATCTAAACATGTGTCTAGACTGACATAAAAGACATACTTCTGTCAACTAGGAAATATGAGAATCTTTCCCTCTCTTTTTCTTATTTTTCTTTTCTTTTTCCAATTCCATTTAAAGCTGTTAATTCAGGTATTTGTCTAGGTCATCAAGTTATTGTCGCTGACTGGCATTTTTGTGTGGTTCGTACAAACGGTGTCAGGCGGAGAACGCATAACTCGTGTTAACTTCTTTTGAATTTTTTTATTATTTTTTTTTTTAGTTTCTCCCTGCTCCAATCAGTCAGCGCTCTGCCGCCAGCTGCTGCCGAGAGTTGTCTCTCAGCTATTCTATTTGCCCGTCAATCAGTCTGCGAAATTTACTTAATTGTGCTAAAATGTTTCGATCAAAGAGCTAACATCATCAGCAACACCACCGCCAACACCACCACCACCACCCCACTTGAGAGTGGGGGCAGAAGTCTCGCACATGCGTCACACTTATTGCCAACTGTTTATTGTAGGCGATTGTTGGCCCAGCCTTAAGTTGACTTTAACAGCACAGATAAAAGACACGAGCACCAACTGGGGAGCAATAGTATTGTTTGGCCCCGCAGCTTAAAGCCTTTAAAAGGTATTCAATTCATATCAGCAATGACATAATAACATTGCCTAACACACATAGCCTTGGGAAATCGGTTCCCTCCTCTGAACTAGTGGTTTTTTGGCCACAAGATTAATTACGGTCCAATTGCCTCTGAGCAGGAGTAGCACAAAAATAAAAATGGACAGAGTATTTGTGTTCTTTTGAAGGTAAGTTCATTGTGCAAAGTTAAAACTTTCTCAATGTCAGAATGCTGCAAACGGGTATGCTCGACTAGTAGTTGTGTGCCCTATTAAAGAATTTCTTAATACCTAGCTTTCCATTGATATTTAGAATTCTCAAGTACATACAAAAGACTTCTATTTTGTCAATATATTGACTGACGACCGACCGACTGACAGACAGATAAATGAAATATTTGCTCAAAGGTCAAACATCTTAACTGCTGCAAGTTTTAGCCACTATTTGGACAACCTTGTGAAACAATTGTATTGATTGCAGGGCATACAGAAGCAATTTACAGCACTTAAACTCCTATTTTCGAATGTGGCACGGGGGCGTGGGAAATTGAATGGGGCTGTGTTGTGAGTGCCACAAGCACAACTGACTGCCTGCATCATAAATCTTGTGAGTCTCGAATTTGCCAATGTTCAAGTTTCGTTAGCTAGTTGATTTATGGTCACAGACGGCATCGCATTCAAATTTGTCAAAGCGATACGAGCTGAGGCTAACATTTCAGATGAAGATGACGATGAAGCTGAATACTGACTGCAAAGCGGAAAATGGAAAACTTTCCATTCTGGGTTCTTTTTTCTATTTATTTTTTTTAAGGTTTTTTTTTTTTCGTTTTTTACAAACTGACCTGGTAAGCATCTGGTATGTTGACCGGCTCGCCGCTCTCGGCCACGTGACCGGCAATTCCTGTGCCCCATGCAACGCGCACTTCCTCCTGCTGTTCCATTTCCTCGACAGTGCTGCGTGGGCAGACATCGAATAGCTTCGATACAAGGCACCTGCAAAACGATAGTTAAAGCCATATAATATTATACACTTTAGTTTGTTAGCATCCTTTCAAACAATAAATAAATAGAGCGAGCAAAATGTTCTGCACTCGACTGAATTTACCGAAAATGTTTGCAATTAGTTGAGAAATACAAAATGGCGGCGCCACACACACAACACACAAAATGGCCCCCGCGGACATGGCATGCGTGTGTGTGTATGTGTGTGTGTACATGTGTATGTTTATGTGTTCGTACGTATATTTTACAGTTATGAAGCCAAAAAATGCATTCGCGCAATCATAAAATGCCAAAAATAAATACCATCAAAAATGTTGCACAGACAAAGTTGAAGCTGCGCTAAAAGTTGGCAACTAAATGGCTCTGGGCCAATGAAGTCATCGCCATTTTGGCAGTAGCTGACAGCCAGTAGCAGCTAGCAAAGCACTTGTCTGATTACCAAATTCAATTTCCAGCAACTGTTAGTGTTAAATTGGTGCGTCAATTGGTTGCAATGCTGCTAGCTATTTATAACTGCATTTTATTTACAGTTCGCCTTAGGTCATTGAAAGTTAGATTTGCTAGATTTTAAAGTGCGTTATGGTCAAGCACTTGTCATAAGTATTTTTAATGCAACATTAATGCTAAGTTGAGGTTTGTTTTTAAACAAGTTATAATGCAAGTATTGAGCTTAAGTATAAACCTGCTTAAGTAGTTTGGTAAAAAAACAAACTTTTATTTTGTCATAAAATTAAAATAGTAATTCAAAATTTAAGTCCGTTTTCAGTTCTGAGAAAGTTTTAGCTGTGAATATTTTTAATGTTAAGTTAAGTTAATGTCAAGTTAATTTGGAGTGAAAATGTTGTGTTCAAATTTAAATGCAGTTTTATTGTAGAAGTCAGTTTTGACGAAGTCGTGGTACTTGACAGTTTTGAACAAGGAAACAATAAACTGCTTATATTATGGGTTATTAACTTTGTGTGTTCCGTTGTTGTTTTTGTTGTTGTACTCACTTTTTGAGTCCATCGGCGCCACTATAGCGTCCCTGCACCAGAAACAATGAACCGCGATCCGCATTTAACAATATGGAAACATTCTGTAAAATCTTGTGACACAATGTGCGCACCTCCAGCTCATTGCAAATGTCCTTTACCTGTAACAAAAGCAGGAAAAACCAACCGGAAAAACATTACTTCAAAGCGATTCGCAAGTGTTTTATACGGAATTATGAGTAAAGTGTGCCATAAAATTGCAATTTCTCAATAAGTGAGTCAGTTTCAAGTGCACTTAATGTGGGTTCTGCTTAAGCAAACTTGCCAATCAGCCAAATAGATTGGCGACAAGCTAACTGACTGACTAACTGATGAAATGATTGGCTGACTGAATGACTGAGTGACGTCTGTGACAATTTAGCACGCTCCTGTGTGTATGTGGCCAAGTCTCTTAACTGTTTGCTGATAACAACGTCAGCAGCTGCCGCAAATATACGCTGGGTGTGTGCAAAATCAATTGGAACAATATTAAGAAACTGCTCTGATCATCAATGTTGCTGAACTGAAAGATACCCTGCAGCAAATTGAATCAAATTTTTAAAGAGCAGACATGTTAAGTCAGTTGTTGAGCTAGATCACTAATATATATAAACAAGTATAACAAGTGCTCTGGCGAAAACATTCTAAGTAGTGGGTTCCAAGAATTAAAACAGATTGCAGAAGTTAAACATAAATTTAAATAAACACAAATGCGTATACATATCAGTGTTGAGATTTGAAAGAAAAAACAACGTCAAGGCTGTAGTCTCAAAAGAAATGGGGTATAAGCTGAAGCGTAGACTTTACATTTGAAAATAAATATTTGAAGTGGCATACATCATGTTTTGTTCACTGGATAAACATTTGTTTTTTATTTAAATTTAATAGTCGCCAATTTCCAAAAAAACTGAGTATGAAAATACGTGCAGCATGTCGCACGTTTTATGACGCACAAGCGTGTTGACGACACGAAATATGAAAATTCGTTGGAAAAATGCATTTCATTGTTTTCTGGCTTATTGTGGTGTGTGGGGGCAGGCTTTTGTCTGCCCATAAAGAAATCACCATTGTACAACGGGGCGTATGACGCATATTAATTGAAATATTTAACGAGTCTTATGCAAGTATGATTAATATATCGATTATGGATATCAAATAGAATACAAACCAGCTCAAAAATCAGCTCCTTCTCATCGAGCTGTTTCAGCTCGTTGCGGGATAAACGCTGCGGCCGCTGAATGCAATGATGATAAGGATACGCATACTGATTACCGCCAGGACTTGTTGCACTGATGGTTGTACAACAATTGCTGCTGCTGCTGCCGACAGCGCCGCCTGCCTGATAATAACTGTGCTGATAATGCTGATTGTTGTGATTGTGATGATGATGATGATGCTGTGGCTGATACTGATATTGACCGGCTGCGATGCCGCCAACATTCTGCAGATTGCCGCAGCTGCCGCTCGTATTATCCATCTGCGGTCCAATGCTCAAAAATGTGAGCGTTCCATCGATCGTATTTACAATGGGCTTCAAGAGGCCACCGCGCTCGAATTCATGCGCCGAAATTTTGCTGCAACGAGGAAGCGTACAATAATATTAACAAGTGCAAGGCAAAGGCATCAAATGAAAAAATATGCTCTTGAATTCATAAATTCTAACTTCGTCATACAGCGTGTGTAAGCTCTAACTAGAATTAAGATATTAAAGAGAAAGCTCATTTCAGCAAAATCTTTTTCTAGTTTTCAGAGCGATTATTTAAATTCTGGGGCATATTTTTCAACAGAGTCCACGGACTATTGTATTACTTACCGCACTGGCGTTGTGGCGCCGGAGCCGCCGCGTGAGCTGCTCGTCTGGCCATTGGGATGCGTGGGTGAGCTGCTGCTGATGACATCGTTGCCGGCGCTGGTCGCATGCGAAACCAGCCACGCATCCACTGTTTGGCGAGTCGCCTTTCTGCAAGAAAGAAACAGAGAGAGAGAGAGGGAAAGAGAGAGTGTGTGAGAAAGATAGATAAATAATGGGAGTGAGTGCGAGTTAAAGTGCAAACATATTAAAATGCTATTAAAAATTAAGCGCTTGTTTGGTCAGAGATGTTATTCTACATGCATGCGACAAAAGCAGACACACATGTGTGTGTGTGGGGTGAAATTGTCTAATAAAATGCCAGCGCCTCATAAATATTCAGCGAGCGAAATATTTTTGCGTCATTCTGCAAGCCAACTCCCGGCTAGCGAACTGACTGCCTGGCTTACTGGATGGTTGGGTTTGCTGGTTGTGCTGCAAGGACACATGCGGCATGGGCGACACGCGCGACCAGCATAAAAATTCTAGAAATCACAGCACACAATTCTATGCAAAAAAGGGGAGTGCAAGTTAGGAAAGGAAAAGGGGAGACTGGGACACTGTTAAACTGACAACTCAAAGAGTCAGTTATACACTAAAATATTTTAGTAGAAATAACCAAATTCGATTTATTAGCAAGTCGATTTCATTTAAATCCAAGTGGACTTCTAGAAGTTCATGGTGCTGCTCGAAGTAAAAAAAAAATGTATTTATTTATTGAGAATAAAAAAAAATTCTTTAATATATGATACGAATTTTGTGCTGTGTAGGAAAAAAAATATGTGTGGACATGGCTTGTGGGCAAAACTAAATGTCCATGCGCCTGACATATTCTTATGCAAAGTACACAAAATGAAGCCTTTTTCTGCCTCGTTTAATGTTAGCCACACACACACATACGCTCAGTGCCAGCGGCGGCCAACAAACTGAGTCTGATGGCCATGAAAATAAAGCCCAATTTATGTTTTAGTTGTTAGTGATTTTTATTATGTGTCATAGCCAAAGGCCGACAAACACAATGTGCCTGTCACAGTTACACACACACACACACAGACACTTTATCTATTTGGCCTGGACTATCTCTGCTTGTATCTATGGTGTGTATGTGCGAAAGCCAATTTCCGGTTTACGACGGAAAAAGCCGGCCACCAGCCGCATGGCTTCTCATAAATATATGACCCAAACTATGCCATTGGCATCAACAGTGCAATTTAAAACATCCTTTCAGAAGCGACACACAACACAAGTTTCGACTTATATTTTCATATAATATTTGCCATAATAAAGTTGTCATCTACATAGATTTAAATAATAGATCGGTTAAAGGGCATATAAAGCGTAGGGTCGCCAGAAGTGCACACATTATTCAAGCATTACTGAATCAGTGAATGTATGGAAAGCATATATAAACTATACATTGATTGGCCCATTTTTATATTCATATTTCAATTTATGTATTACTACACAAGAACTTTAGTGGATTCGCAATGCCATGAATTATGACAGAATATTGTGGCTTCCATTTTAAATAGAATTTCGATTTTCAATCTTAACTTGACAACGAGATCATATTAAATAACTTTTTTTCTTAAAGTTGATAGCTCACCTTATGAAATAATCCTGTACAAACTCCTGATTCTCATCCAGCCATGCCTCCATGCGCGCATGCTCCGGATCATAGGGTCGACTATGATGTGGCGATGCTGTCTGGTGATAGGGATGGGAATACCCCTGATGTTGTTGCTGCTGCTGCTGATGGTACGAATGCTGTTGCTGCTGCTGCTGTTGCTGTTGGTAAGCGGCTGCTGTGCTTGCAACATAGCCACTGCTGCTGCCATTGATGTTGCTGCTGCTGCCGTTGTTGCCGTTGATGTTGCTGTTGCAATTGATGACACTGCTGCTGCCAGTGCTGCTGTTGTTGTAGTTGTGATAGTGGGCGGGTTGTTGCTGTTGCTGTGATAGCGGCAGGGGGACACCGGTGCGTGTGGCAATGAGCAGACTATGCTCACTCATACCGTACCCTGTGCCCCCCTGCTCCGCAGGCATTCGAGCTGCCAACTGCAGCGGCGTCGACGCCGGCTCCTCAATGCTCCGCAATTGCAGGCCTGCACAAAAATAAAGTGGTAAATATATTAAATTTAATATGAATAACATAACGCAGCCGATTTGTATTGATTGATTCTATAAATCATTAAGCTTATCAAAATTGTTTGACATCTCAGTTTGAGTTTATTTTAATGAATTTGCTCGAATTGGATTATTCAATTATTTGGCGCAAGGGTATGTCGCAATAGGGAACTCTCGACCAGCGCATTGCAATTTGTCTTTTAGGGTATTTAAAACACACTTTTTCTGCTTTTTTTCTTGCATGTCCCCACGACATTTTTATGTGATCTGCACGCTCCAATTCGATTGCACAACATTTGCATTGCAAATGGCCAACATATCCTTTAAGCCCGCTGCAAAAGTCACGCGTCACACGCAACCCACCAAAGCTAGGGGTGAGTGTTGGTTCACCCCTTGCTCCAGACTGTATGCAAATCCGGATAGCTGTAGCATCATCATCATCATCATCATCATGAAAGTGGAAAAAACACTGACACGCTTGCTGTTTAAATTTATAATTTTAGCAGCGCAGAGAAAATATTCTTTTCAGAAATTGTGCACATACATAAATTTTGCTAAATTGCTTGGTTCCAGCTATCGCATGTCAGTGCGACAATTAAGAGCATTTAAGTCGCTCGCCACATGCTGCGTATACGTAATGGGCATAAATAAGCCACCAGGCTCATCAGACACTTTACGGGTAGGCAGGGTAGGCCTGCCTTGGCCCTTAAAGGGCTTAAAATCATATACATATGTCAAGTTCACATTAACCGGAAATATTGGCAATTGGCGAGAAATATGGGGCACCCTGGGGCGCACAACGCCATCCACCATTGCAACCCCATGTGGCGCCAATTGTGCGCCTGATTAAGTGCTAAAAATAGATACAAATACTTGTATCCTTGTGATGGATATCTAAGGATATCAGCGCTATAGTCTGCCAACCCAAGTGCAAATTGTGAAAGCTCAACAGCTGGGGTTGCGCCATCTCTGGTTGAGAGGGGGTGTATAAATTTGATTTATTATCTACTTTTTGGCATAGCAACCGAATAAGCCAAACAACACATCCACAGACGCATACACACACAGACAGATACACACACACACACACAAACACACTGACACAAGCAGAAATAAAACGAGTTGCTCCTGTCAACAGCTAATTTGACTATGCCGGATAAGTTGACAAACTGAAGCATTTACAAATTGCTGTTGTTTCTTGTGTCAACTTTCTGGTTTAGATTTATGAGCTTGGCCTTTGTGGTTGGCTTTTCAATTGTAGCCCCCAAAATTTGTAGCATGCAACAAGGCAGTTATCCCAGAGAAGTAAATTTCAATAAACTTGGATTAAGCAACAGCTGTAAAATTATCCGTTTTTCAAATAGAGTAAAATATCGCAGGTGTTTTAACCATTAATCATTTCATGAATATTTACAAACTTTCAGTGAAATTGGTACTTAATCTACCATTTCCAAGTATTACCTCTGCAATTTCTTCTGAGAAACAAAGTAATAAAATTCAGACAAAATTGTTGCCAAATTCATTTTCACAGTATTAAATTGAACTTTCAGTTTAGCGAAGTTTGCTATGTGAAAGTATTCCAGTCGAAATATTAAATTACTTTTTCTTTCTGCGAAAAGATATTTTGTCCACAATTATTGCTGAAAATTGAAGCTTATCAGATGACATTCATTTTGGTATTATATTTTCCCTTTTCCATTTTGTTGTTCTCAATTTTTGTTGGCTTCCTATTCTGTGAGAGAGCTTAAGCTGCAAATAGCAGCTTAAAGTCAGCTACTTAATGCTGAGAAATTTATGAGCAACCAGGGCATATGAGCGGGGAGAGAGAAAAACAGACATGAGCAAGTGCAGCACTTACATGCATGTGTCACCCTCTTCCCTCCCCTGCACCGACTCCATCTGCTGGCCCTCTTCTGGCTCTTCAGCGTCATACGCCACACTTAATCTTTTAAGCTGCATTTGCCTTGCACAGACAACATGCAACATGCTTAAGCTGCTGCAAAGCATTTGGCTGCAATACTCAAAGTGCCACCACCCCTCACTTTTCAACCACTCAAAGTCAAATGACAGCGTCATGGCTGAGTGGGCGCCGTCACGCCCCCAGCAACAGAAACGGCAAAAAACATTGGCACTTTGTGCTGCGGTTTCATTAAGCGTCAGCTTTATGTAAGACATCCATCCCAGTCAAAGTCACAGTCACAGTTCCACTTCCAGTTCCACTCCCATCCCAGTCACAGTCGCAGTCACATTCACATTCACAGTCCCGTTTTGCAGTACCAATCCCAGCCCCAGGCCCCAGAGTCTTTGCTCTGGCAAATTTGTACACAAGATTGCTTTGGAATTTCACTTTTGGTAGCAAAAGCAACAGCAAACAAACATATGCACATTTTTATCAGAGTTGCACGACTACAGGATAAATATGTTACTCATTTTGGAATAGTTGAAGGTATTTTTTAGAACATAAGAATACTCGATTTATGCTAGAGTTTATAGAAATTGTGGATTTCTTGTGATATGATTTTTTTTGTGAGTTTCAAATTTTTTAGACTATACAATATCGTATGAGAATCTAGAAGCCAATAAAGTTAATCTTTCATATACTTTAATCTACTTAAAGTCGAATCTTTATTAAACTGAAGTTCATATTTTTAATTTTTGTTTCCAAAATCTACAATTATAAATACATATTAAAGTCGCTTTGCTAAATTTGTTGACTCTCTAATTAATAGAGAAATATGCGTCAGCTCAACTTTCAAACTGGTTAAAATTAAAAACCTTCGGCTAGATTGGAACAGCCTCACAGTTGCAATTGAATACCCTCTCTCTTTGATGTGCAGATTAAAGGGCATATGAGATTTGCCGACAGATACACACATGTTATGTGTTGGTTATTCTATTTTTTGTTTTCGTTTTTTGTTGAAGTCAAATGCAAATTGAAAGTTGGCAAATGTGCAAAAGAGAACCATTTTTTTCCTCTCTTGCTGCTCTTTAGACGCTATACGAGTGACACGTGGGCAACAGCGGATCGATGGGGCTAGAAAAAATGTTGCACTCGCTTATGTGTCGTAAATTTTACTGTCGCTAGCAAGTTTTTGCCAAAGTCATCTTTGATATGAGTTTTATTTCGTTTGTTTTTCTCACCTGTTGTCTCCTGTTGCGGACTATGCGTTGGTGTTTGTTGTTGTTGTTGTTGCTGCTGCTGTTGTTGTTGTTGCTGTTGTTGCTTGCTATTTTTGTTCTTATTTTTGTAGCGACAACCACGAAATCGACACATACTTGCCGCTTGGCCCATGGGGCCCGCAAGCAATGCGAATGTTAAACCCTCCGTTTTAATGAATTTAATTTTGTCAACTTTAAGCAAAGCCGCCGCGTAGCGAAAATTGTATTTGTTGTTGGTATTGCTGATTTTGGCTTTTGTTGTTGTTGTCTTAGTTGAGGACTCAATTTTGTTGGCTTTGTTGCCGCCAAATGGCCGCCAAATGACAACAGAAACTTGATGTTTATTTTCGAATTTTGTTGACTTTGGTATTGTTTGTCGTCGTTGTTGTTGTTATTAATTTGTTGCACTTGCATAATAAATTTTGTTTATGTTTTTATTTTTATTGTTAATTGAATTATGTGTTTTTGTTTGCTTAGAGTTTATAGTTTAAGTGTTTTGAGCTGTGGCTTTTGCTTTTGCGACACTCTCAGCTGCTGTTGGCAATTTTGAGAATGTTAGAACAACTTTTCGCACTTCATTTTGCATAAAACTCATTTTACACGCTTCCTGCTGCAGTTTTCGTATTCCATTCTGTCGCTTTAAGCTACGGCTTTGGCCTCGGGGCAATTCAATTAACACTTAAGCCGCAACCCCAAATGCATTGCAGACAGACGCCAATTGATGAACAAACAAAAGCTTTGGGTACCATTACAACAAGCGCTGCGGAGACGGAGGCGGAGGAGGAGGAGGTGTGGCGTGGGGCACGTGGCAGAGAGTAAAGTGTGGGTTGCAGCCACACGACTGACTGACTGGGTGACTGGCTGAAAAACAGACAGACAGACAGACAATGCAACAAAACCCACGTAGGCAAGCACCGAAATGTCAGTTAAATAAAATCAACAGTGCCAACAAATGGCTCGGACCAAACCAGCCAAATACAAGCGCAAACCCATGTAAGCCAAGAGCAAACAGGGCAGCACTTGATCAGGATGCGACGTGAAAATACCCTGTTGTTGTTTTATATACTCTTGTAATTTACATGAAAGTAATGGATTGTATCTTTTTCAGTCAAAAGAACCTGAAAATCGTACACATATGGTTAAGATCGAGAAAAATGGTGATATTGAAATAACTTTAATAAGATCTGTGTTAAGATTTATATTGTTAATTACCAATATACAAATCATATCGAATGTGACATTTAATTAGACGTCAGCAAACAAAACAATAATCACTTTTTGCAAGAGTTTGGTATTTGTTTGTCGTATATTAAAATTATATGAAATTTTCTTTAAAATTGGATTTTCAACAAATCCACAACTGTAAATAAACATATAACCCCAATTATGCCCTAAGCTCGCCCGACAGGTAATGAAAAAACTGCACAGAGGTGAAAATTTGTGTGCTCTGAATTCGGTTTGGTTCGGTTAGCATCTGGTTTGGTTTGGTTTTTGGTTTTTGGTTTGCCGCCACTCGAAATGTGTTTGTAAATGAAGGCCAACAAAAAAAAAAATTGAGAGCGAAAGCGAGAGAAAAAAAAGAAACAATAGACAAGTCACAAACAGCAAATACACAGACACCGACACAGCCAGACACTCTTCTTGCTAGCAGTGAGTCAGTTCGTCAATCTGTCAGTCAATAGCCGAGTGTTTGACAATGGGTATATTGAATAAACCGCCATCCATTGGCTGACAACACCCGTGAAGTGACTGAAGAGAGATCTTCAGTGCACTGATTTAATTTCAGCTGTTGCCAGCTGTTGCATCACTTGTTGGCAGTTGCCACTCGTTCTTCTGCTCTTACTCACTGATAGTTTGACAGCGGAAATGATAAAATTTCCAATTTTACAATGCTGCAGCATTGCAACGGCAGCAGGAGCAGTCGACAACAATGGAGCTATCAACGAAGGGACTTGGGCATGTGGCAGGCCACAAAGCAGTAGCAACATCATTTCGCCATTGTTGGGGTATTGATGATGTTGACTCAAGTTGATTGCTAAGTTGCAATGAGCATCGATTTACTGCATTTGCAACTTGCCACTTGAAATGCTGAAATTGCCTTTGGTCAGCTGACACAAGCAGAATAAAAGCATAAAGGATTTTAATGTAATTGTGGAAATGTATTTAAATCACTTGACAGATGGAATTTTTAGTAACAAACAGAGAGTAACGGGAAAATGACAGTTTAACAGTCTGAATATGAGGATATATATTTATATTATAGAAAGTAAGAGAATTCACTAACGAATGGAGATTGGTTTTTTGCTTTTGGCTAAGGCCATAAACACTTTAAAGAATTTATAAAATATTTGTGTTATGCTCTGCCAAACCGACTGTAAAAATGCCGCAGGCGATGAAAAGTTTTTGCATCGAACTATTTCAGGAAGCAACAACTTGATAACTATTTCGTACAGTCCACAGAGCAACCAAAGGCCATCAAAGTCAAAGTTTGAGCATACAAAATACACTTTCAAGATAGAAACTTTTTCCTACAGTTTCTGGCGAAGAGTATGTAATTAAACCAAGAATTTTTTAATTAGAGATATTCTAAAGTAATATTCATTAGTATCTGTCGTGCAGTTGGCAGTCAACCATTTAAAACCGAGGAGTTCCCTCAGCAGCAACTGGCAACTGACAACTTGCAGCAATTTGCAATTTGTTGCCACATTGCCCGTACACAGCGCACCGCATTCATAGACGCCGACTTTTAAGCGATTTGCATCTATTTTTTCCTGTATCTCTCTGCCCGTACTCTCTTCGGATTCACTCGAATCTACCCCTAGCAACCGGTGGCTAACCACAGCAACAACCACAGCAACAACAACAACAAACAAACTGAAACCAAAAAAAAAAAGCAAACCACAAAAACTATTTTTATGCCAATGGCGACAACCGCAAAAGCGTCACGCAGACACTCACAGAAATATATATAAAGTTGCACACACACACACACACACACAGCAAATACTGAGAATGGGCGGAGGTAGGGATAAGGGAAGGGGTAGGTGTTCGTCGGTTAGCATTCGCTTACATTATGTCAATAGCATAGGTAAAAGTAATGGTGGGGCAGTGTGGAGATGAGGGGCGTAACGGGCACTGTCCGCCTGTCCGTGTCTGGCTAAGCAAACGATGTTCATTAATGGCGCACGCCACAGTTTGGCGAGCAGCAAAGCCAAGTTAACAGATAACAAATGCAGCACTGCAAAAAATGTTTCCAGCAATAACAAAAAGTGGATACAAATTTAATTTAGAAAAACAAAGAAAACAAACTTAGTAGCTGAACAATATGTAAATGTTAGTAATTTAACTTTATTGTTTCTCATTAAAGTCTCACAGACCTTAACTGAAGTCTAAATGTACGTAATGTTTTTACCTTTATTACCAATAATTAATTATTTTTCTTAGGTTTTTTATTTTTGTCAGTGCATACATAGTAACTATAGCTTGTACCTGTCATTCAATGGGGTCGACCTTTTCATTCCTTTATTCATTCATTTCATTTCATTACATTTCATGTCATTTCATTGTTTTTTTTGTGGCAATGCAAACAGACAACAATGTCTACACACACTCCAACACACACACACACACTCAGAGATACTGTGCAAAAACTGGTGTGGGCATAAGTGTCATTAGGCGCCGTTGAGAAACGCGTCACGAACTTGAGCATCGATTAGTGTAGGACGACGACGGAGTGGAACGCAGGACGCAGGACATTACAGGACCTAACCATTTCGCATTTTGCATGAAATGCTCAATTTGTTGGATCAATAACCTGTTGCGCTGCTCTTGTTATAGTTATAGCCTTCAACTATGAATGAGAAATAGAGATAGACTCTCTTTTCTTTTTCTTTCGCTTGGCTTCTACATTTTTCTCAGCCAAGTCAACGATGCGTATGCGTGATATAAAAAACACCTATTGCGTTAATTTTAACGGGAGGCTGTGAATAAATTAAAAAAATAGCATACTAAAAAATGCAAGAGTATACTAAACCGAAGCACGCGTTTCAGCATTTGTGAGCGGGTATCAAAAAGAAAAAAAGAAAAAAGAAGAAGCAATTTTATTAAAGTGGAGCACATAACTGGCAGCAGTTGGCAGACAGAGAGGCAGTTAAACAGCATCGACGAATTGTGCTGCTTACTGCCTTTAAATATTAATAATAATAATTGTGTAAATAAACAATAAATCTCATTATCACATTTGCTGTGCTCGTGCATTCAATTATTATCACACAACAAGCAAAAGCCACACACACACATACCCAACAACTCAAACAAAATTGCTGTCTGGCAGATGACAATGCTACATAATACTTGCAAATATCAATAGGCAAAATAAAACACAGAAAGATGATATTTATGTGGTGTTGAATTTTAAAGACCCTTAAGATGAGAGTCTCAGTAAAGCTCTTTATAGAAATGAAAAATATTGTCTAAACTTTTCAACAAATTACATTCAAAAAGCCATAAAAGTAGATGAAACCTCTTTGAAAAGTTTCATAAAGTTAAGATGAGTTCCCATTTAAAGTGCTAAACTTTAATGATTATATCGCATTGTTGGTTGCGGCTAATCGATACATATTCAATGGCTGACACATTTCGTGATCATGGTATTATACATGGCATTAACATATTAAGGCTCTCAAAGGGGGAAACAATAGCCAAAAGCCAGACAATTAAAGCAGACGCCGAGAAGCGGGTAAACATCTTGATAAAAAGCCGCTTATCAATGTATCAGCAGACGATGCCACAAGAGCAGCTGTCTCTCTCTTTTACTCTCTGTCTCTCTCTACCTGTTTTTCCATCTCTCTCGCCTGGGCACATATGTCATCATTTTTAAAGTTATCATTTCGTGCATTGAAAATTGTACGTGGAATTTACAGCGAACAAAAACACATTTTGCTGACCATTTGCAATTTGGCTTTAAATGTGCAATTTTATGGACAGTACAGCTGCGTTGACGTGGGCGCAACAGAGGGGGCGGGGTGTGGCAACTACAGCTTTATGATGTTCATAAAAACACAAAACAGATAAACGGACAGGCTGACAGCCGGACAGACGGATGACAAAACTATAGTGTGAGAGAACAGGGCGCGTGTCTGTTTGCGACTGCTGGCGACTGTAAGTGGGGCTAATGCCGGATGGCTTTGACATCTAACTATCAAAACATGAATATATATCCACATATATAGACATATATATACTCTATACTCTATATGTCTGAATTTATGTAGTCATTTTTATTGTTATGCCACTGGCTATTTAAATATGTTTTTATATGCATTTGTGTTTAGTGCCGGCTAGTTAA